GAGCAGCAAGTGCTGTTAATTGCTGAGGTATCCCTTGAGCCTTTTTTGAGATGTCTCCCTGTGCAGTCCTGGCTACCCTTGACTTCATCCTCCTGCCCTCAGCCTAGAGTGTTGTAATACCACACCCAGCTGCAGGCAGTAGAGAGAGCACTCAACCTTTCCTGACCCAGCACCCAAGGGGCCAAGGAAAAAAGCTGTCCTCAGAGTAGAGATGGAATTGAGCCCACCTGTCCCTTCAGGGCCACAGCCTCTCTCTTTCCAGGCCTTGCCACTGCAGTCACTACGGAAATCCTTCAGCTGCCCCACCCCCTCCAAGAGTGATGAGCAGAAAGGTCCGAAAAGGCCGAACGTGGTTAGAGATCCCGCCCCATGAGTGAGCTCGGGACCCGGCAAGAGCTTTAACTCGGATGCCTGATATGACAGGGGCCTACACCCAGCACTCCTGAAGACTTCAGCAAAACACTTTTGTTTTATTTTCCTCTTAGAAAGAGCAGCAAGCACTTCTCAGTCGACTCCCTGTTTAAAACTCTCCTGGGTCCACCCTGGATCTCATGTAACAGCACTCAGTGAAACCTGAGGCTCTGAGCTGATAGGAGTGCTTGCTTGTTCAGCCCCTGAGATTGAAGCGCGATAATGTCTTGGCTAGAGTCCTGACAGGATGGAACAAACAGACCTGATATAAAAGCCTGCTTCCCTTGCCACTGGGGCCTGGATCTTTCTGGTGATACTCAAAACACCACACCCTACCTGTCAGACATGAGGATCCAAGGGCTGAAGTCCAAGTGGCTCCAGGACCCAGGAAGGGCACTGCACCTTGCCTGCTCCCTTGCCTGTCATTTAAGTCTCCCGAGACAGTGCAAGGATCATCTATATCAGCTCGTGGGTAGTGATGCTGCCTCTTGAGTGTAAAGACCCATCAGAATGACACAGGGAAATGGCCACCAGCCCACACTGGTGGGGTTCAACGCCATTAGTAGGTATCAGGCCCTGTTTGGCAGCCTTTCTGCACTGTTCTCCACAGCACGTAACTTTGTAGCTCACGATCAGTGGCTCTCTGTTGTCCTCCCAGACTGTGAGCCCCTATGGCACAGGGACTTCATCTGCCTCACTCACCGAGTCCCCAAGGCCAGAAGTCACTCAATAAAAAGCTTTTGTATTCATCCAACAATTGTTTATTAATGCCAATAAATGCCAGGGCCCGTGCCACTCGTGAAAAAATGAGGAAAAGAACAAGTTGGGCAAGGTCCTGACCCTTAAAGGCTGGTAGAGCACAGAGGCTGAACATAAGCCAATGGCTGCGTTCACAAGTGTGTCATTATAGTTGCAGAGACAGCCTCCATTCCACACTTACTGAGTGTGACCCAGGTCCTTGTCACTTGCCAACCATGCGGGCGCATTATTACACAGGAGTCAAAAATTCAAAAGCTCTCTAAGGAGTCACAACCTGTTGGACTACCTCATCCCTCTTCTGCCTCTCTTATCCCACATAGTACTGCTCAGAGAGGTCCCGCCTTAGTCACCCAGGAAAAACACCTCTGGGGAACCTCCTCCTCCACATCTTCCCGCTGCCAGCTCCTGTTCCATCCGGATCTCAGCTCAAAGACCATCTCCCTGGAGGCAGTCTCCCTTGACTACTCTGCAAAGCCATCTCCAGAGACCCTCGTCTTTCTCCCTGACAGCTCCTGTCCCAGCTGGGTCTCGGCTCAAAGGCCACCTCCTCACAGGGGTCCTCCTCGGCTACCCTGCAAAGCCACCTCCCTGCCGGAGTCCCCGCGGTGCTAGCCTGCTTTGGCGGCGCCCAGCCCTGGACCTCACAGACCCGCAGGCCGCGGGACACTCACGTCTCGGAACTGCACCAGGCCCTTCTCGCCCAGCGCGCTCAGACACTCGTAGGCCGTGCCCGACTGCAGGAAGAGCTGCGCCAGGCACATGCTCTCGCTGCGGAAGAGGGAGCCCATGGCGGCGCCGCCTCGCTCAGCCCCCACGGCCCGCGCACCCACACCATGGGGCTACCCTCCGCTGCCACCGCGGCCACCGCTCAGCCGCCGCCACAGCCACCCGCCACGCCCCGCCCACCGCCGCAGCCGGTTCCGGTTCCGCCCCGGAGAACCGCCCATCGCAGGATAACCAATGAGCGCCCGGAATCGTGGCAGTCTGTCACTGCGGCTCAGCCAATCGGGGCACAGGAGGCAGGATTCCCTAATTGGGTGACCCCTGCGCGGCTTTTAGAGTTTATTTTAGTAGTTCATAGGTTTTTCGTGGATCCCAAACTGAAATTGACAATCCTCCTGTCTCAGCTTTCCCAGGACCAGGATTGTAGGGTGCTCCACTACGGCCAACTACTTTTGAAGATGTTTTTTATTCGAAACAGAGTCTATATAGCTAGGATGTCGTTAGGTAGATCTGCCTGCTTTTACCTCCTGAGTGCTGGGATTAAAGGCATGCACCACCACGTCCGGTACTTCTTGAAGTCTTTTTTCTTCCTTCCCTCCCTTCCCCTCTCCTCCTCTCTTCTCCCCTCTCTTTTCTGACAGGGTCTCATTATGTAGCCCTGGCTGTTCTGGATTTCATCTTGTTGACCAGGCTGACCTCGAACTCGCCGAGACCATCGTGACCCGTGGGTTTATTTCTTCTTAAATTTTATTTTTGAGGATCTCATATATGTATACAACCAAATTATGATCGTGTTCAGCCAGTTTCTCTATCCAGCTCCCTCAGTATTCCAAAAACGTTCCCCTCTCAATTTCATGTCTTCTTTTGTGATATCCCCTAAACCCAATTAATGCTGTTCATGTGTTCATGGGTATGGGGCCATGCACCAGAGGATGAGAAACCTACTTATCTATTTGCTTTTTATTTATTTATTTATTTATTTATTTATTTATTTATTTTTGAGATAGAGTCCCATGTATGCCAGGCTGGCCTCAACTTAATAAGTAGCTGAGGATGACTTTGAACTCCTGATCCCCCTTCATCTAACGACCCATCCTGCCTCCCCCGGTGCTGTGATGACAGGCAAGCATCAGGTCTGTGTTGTGCTGGGGATGAAACCCAGGACTTCATACATGCTAGGCAAGTATTCTTAATAACTTAGGCTTAAAAAAAAAAAGAGTCCTGGGGTCTGGAGATAGCTCATGAGTTAAAAACACTTACAACTCTTGCAGTGAGCTATGGGGTTCCCAGACCCAATCAGGTGTCACACAGCCACCAGTAACTGCAGTGTCAGGGACTTCAATGCCTTCTTCTGACCTTGGTAGGCTTCTGTGCATATATACACTCAAGCACACAAATAAATCTTTTGGGGTTTTGTTTTGTTTTGTTTCAAAACAGGGTTTCTCTGTGTAGCCCTGGCTGTCCTGGAACTCACTCTGTAGACCAGGCTAGACTCGAACTCAGAAATCCGTCTGCCTCTGCCTCCCAAGTGCTGGGATTAAAGGCGTCTGCCACCACCGCCCAGCTACAAATAAATCTTTTAAAGAGATTTTTATTATTTTAAAGTGTGTGTACGTGCCTGCGTGAGTTGCAGAAGCCAGAGGATTTAGACGCCCCCCAGGAGCTGGAATTAAGAGTGAGCTGCCTGACATGGGAACCAAACTCAGGTCCTCCAAAAGGAAAGTACGTGGTCTTAACCACTGAGCCGTCTCTCCAGCCTAATGGGGGCTGGGGGGAGTCTCTTAAGCATTTTGCGTGCTGCTAAGTTCTGTTTCAAGTATACACCCCTTGGATTCTTAGTGAAGGTAGAGGATGCAGCCATCATCCTTACTCAGTCGGAGAACATCTATTAACCAACAGGATACAGGTTCAGTTGCAGCCAGCCACCACCAGCTGCCTCTGTCACAGTGGATTTGCCAGCCTGGGAGGGGTGCAGTCGGTGGAACTAGGCTCTAAGTGGTGCAGTGTGCGGGCCTCTGCAATCCTCAGTCACACTGCTAGCCTCCAGCAGTCATGAGACTCTGCAATAACATACGCTCTGATGTGTGCTTAAAATCTCTGGCTTCTCTTACTGCATTCCAAAAAAAAAAAAAAAAATCCAATCCCCTCACCAATGCATTCGAGGCGGCTTCTGCTTCCTGCCGTGGGCTCTGGCTCCTTTCGCTGGGCCACACCTCCTCCCTGCTTTTTCCTGTCGACACACTTGAACTCTGAAGTCCTTCAGTTTAAAATTCTGGCCCACTGGACCTTCTCAAAGCTGACTCCTCCAGATCTCAGTTGAAATGTCCCTGTACCGGTTAGGTTTTACTGTCAAGATGACACGGTGTCACCTGAGATGAAGGAGTCTCAACTGAGGGATGACACAAATCTGACAGCCCGGTAGCCATGGTTATGGTGAATTATCTTGACTACTGATTGACGTGGGAGGCCCAGACCAGTACGGGCAGTGTCATCGCTGGATATGTGGTCCTGGGCTGTTTAAGAAAGCTGGCTGAGACATTGTGGTACACACTTTTAAACTTAGCACTCAGAAGGGAGAAGAGGTGGATCTCTATGTGTTCTAGGCTGGTCTGGTGTACATACTGAGAAATGCAGCATTTAATACTGTAGAGGTCTATACTATAGATGAGATGGCTCATGGGTAAAGGCACTGTCTACACAAGCCTGACAACCTGCGCTCCCTCCCTGAATACCAAAGGCAGAGGGAGGAAACTTACTCCCAAAGCATGCCCCCATGTCCCTGCACCTGCCTCGCTCCTCAAACATACACATTCATAGTAATAGTAACAACAATATAAAATTCAATTTTAATTTAAAAGCCTTTATAAAGCATGCTCTAGCCCTTTCTCTGGAATAGGTGACAGTAATCAATCTTTTCTTTATGCTTACCTGCTTGCATCAAGTCTGGTCAAAAATAAACCCCCTGTGATTAGAAATTCGTGCTGGGCTTAAGTCTCTGACATTTAGGACACCTTCGATTCCCCTGCAACCAGCGAGAACCGAGAACAAGCATTCGGAGCCACTGTGAACATCTCGATATTTGATGTACACTCACTTAGCACTAAGAATTTCTACAAAAATAGACATTTGGTTTATTAAAATGTTTCAGAGAGGCCAGGCACTGTGGAACGTGCCGTTAACCCAACACTCCAGAGGCAGAGACAGGCAGATCTCTGTGAGCTTAGAAGCAAGCTAGGGCTACATAGAGAGACCCTATCTTAGACCAACAGGTTTCAGGGAGGCACACAGGCCTACAGGGAGCTGCTGAGTGGATGCTCTGAATCTTTGAGAAACCCTAATGGTAGACTGGAGCCGAGCACCAGGCTTTGCACATCCCGACCCACGGATGCCTGAGGAGTATGGCCAACGAGAGGAGTGACAGCAGCATCAGGCCTTTGGCCACACACTGAGACCGGGGCTCCCCTGAAAGACAGCAAAAGGCAGTTGTTAAGAGCATGAAGGTCCTTGTGCCCGCAGATCACCAGGGAAACCAGAAATGTTGAGCAGACATGATTGTGCTCTCAAAGGAAAGGACACACAACCTGTTTGTCCATGCAGAAGGCTAGGAATGGGGGTGGCTAACAGCCTGGTGAGCTGCAGTATCTGTGGGACCATGCCATATCAAGACCCCACAATCAGGACCGGAGGTGGCTAACAGTCTAAAGGACCTTATGTAATCTGTACTGCCAAGGGCTCCGGCAGGCTCTCACAACCAGAGATGGCTAACAGCCCACATGACCTCTATACCATCTATATGACCGAGACCGTGCCAGATCCCTCCTTAGGCTCTTAAGCTAACACAAGTAATCTACTCTAGAAGCCTTCTTTTCTAAAAAATAAAAAAAAAATCATTTATTTAATGTATATGAGATGCTGTAGCTGTCTTCAGACACACCAGTAAGCCACCATGTGGTTGCTGGGAACTGAACTCAGGACCTCTGGAAGAGCAGTCAGTGCTCTTAACCACTGAGCCATCTTTCCAACCCTAGAACCTTTCTTGAAAGAAGGGACATGTACTTTGAGTTGTGTTTCGATGTTAATTGTGCCTCCTTGCGTACTGGGGATTGGATTATACCAGGAAACTTCCTCCCAGATTGTACTGTGTTTAAATATGCTGGCAATAAACCACCTGACATCAGACTCCTGAAGTTTGACCCAGCCTGGACGACTAAGTCTGGCTGAACTGAGTTTTCATTCATTCTCATTTCTTATTGGCTTGTTTCCCTGCCAACTATAACGCTTAACAGGGAACAACCACACTTGCAGTGAACAACCCCCCCCCCCATCCCAACAACTGAGTCATACGACATCTTGACGTTGAAGGTGATAATTTAGCGATTACTAGAGATAACCACTCTTTGTTATCATTTAAACATCATAACCATAATTTCTAAACATCAACGTTGGTGTGGTTTCTTCTTTTAAGTCTTTTGTGTTTTAAGTTGTCCGGGACGTTTACACATTGACACGTAAACAGTTTTAATTGGCACAACAAACAACACACAGAAACCGTGCTTCCTACCTTGATAATACTGGGTCAGAGGGTACAGAAGCTGGGGCCAACACAGCTCATTCCGGGTACAGTCATACTCTGTGAAGTTGATCTGGAATCTACAAAAACATGAGAGCATCGCGGGGAGAACAAGTGAGAAGTAGGAAGGAACCTGCGAGCCAGTCAGCTACTGGCCATGGTCAGGGGGCGGGGCATCTGCGCAGGAAGGACCCTGTAAGCCTGTCGGCCATTGGCTTACCTCGTTGGGGGGCGGGTCATCTGCGCAGGGATGTTAATAAACTTAACAGAGGCACTGAGAGGGAGGAGGTCGGCCTTGTCCTCACAGGTGAGCCCACACTGGTACTGCCAGGTCACTGTGGAAAACCTAGAAGGGGACAACGGTAAGGTAGTGTGGCCACCAACCATTGAAAGTCTAGGAAGCCAAGTGTTGCATCAAGTCTAGACCCAGACTCTACAAGCCCTTGTACCCGTCACTGGCTGCCTTGGCCAGCTCCCTCCTCCAATCCAAGTCCCCGCATAAGGGTTCTCTTAACAGAGATAGCCTGTCTCCCACAGTCTAATAAGAAGAGTGGCTGACCATTTATCGAAGGGATTCGCTGGCCGCAGCAGGGAACTAAGGTGCTTTTTTTACCTATTCTGGCAAGGAATCCTCAGAACAGTACTGTGGGGATGGGATGTTGCTTAGCCAAAGAAGCTCTGGCTCCATCCCAACGCTCTGAAGTGGGCCTGATGGGGCATCGCCAGCCCTATTCTGGTAACTGCACCCCAACTTTCCATGGGGGTTGGGGACACACCACTCCCTGCTTTCTCTGTTCAGTGGGTCAGAAGATACCAGCCTGAATCCGGAGCCTGCCTGCCAGAGCAGCTGATAGTTCTGGACATAGTGAATGGCTCCAGAAGGAACACATGATCCGGCTGAACAACAACAACAAAAAAAGAAGAAAGTCTGCCTATATCTGTCTTGACAAGGCGGCCTCTCTTTACTAAGCCCAGGCAAGGTGAGGCTGGTGCTGACCTAACAGGACTAAGGAGGATGTCCCTGATTATGAAGACAGTTCCAGGACAGGGTGAGCTGGAGATAAACAGAAAAGAGATCTCTGTGACCCTGTAGGCATGGGGACTCGCCCAAACTGAATAGCACCCATCACTTGTTGCTAAGTGGAACTTGTCACATAGGGTAATGATGCAATGCACAGAGGCATTGTCATGTCTTAGATAAGGCTACTGAATAGCAAACTGTCCAAAGTCACACACAGCTCCATGATCTGAACCTATGGGGGCCGGCAAAGCCTCTAACCAGTGGCCACATTCTGTCACCAATATGCCACCCGGGCCCACAGAGTTAAGTACCCTCAAGCACGGAGCAGCCCCTTGCTAGCCCTGGCCTTCCCCAGATATTGCATCATCTCTTATACAGAGTTTTACAAATACTCCTGAGGGCGGATGTCTGTGCTTTCCACTTACACAGCCCTATCTCTTAACAATCATTTGCAAGTGTGCAGATTCCTGCCCTAGCATTACTCGTCTTCCTGCTCTTGACTTTGGCAACTCTCGGGAAGGGACCACACCTTGTCTCCACAGCCAGGATCTCCTGCTGAGCCACCCCTTCCACAGAGCCAGCCTCCGCAGTGAGGATGCGCATGGAGAGGTGGGCTGGAACTTCCGGGCACATGCCATTTGCGCTGCTCAGGGGCAGATCGGCACCTGTGTCAGGGGCGTCGACACCTGCAGGAATGTCAAGTTAGACATCTGTTAATAGCAGCTGTCCTACAGTGTCACACATGATACCCAAAGGGGTGGAAGGTGATATGTTCTGGCTCTGAGACCGGAGGCTTGACTCTCTAGCAAGGGTGTTGTCATTCCATGACTATAGGACTTCACAGCATCTAGAAGCAGGGGCTACTCACCTGGGTGGTGTCTAAATGCTTCCCTGTGTGCTGAATGAGGTCCCAACCCACAGAATAAAACCAAACACAGAGATTCAGTGTCTGGGGCTGCAGAGACAGCTCAGCATTTAAGAGCACTTACTGCTCTTTCAGAGGACCCAGATTCAGTTCCCAGCACTAATATGGCAGCTTACAATCACCTGTAGCTCCACCTCCAGGGCATCCAATGCCCCTTTCTGGCTTCCAAGGGTACCAGCACACATATGGTATAAACTTCCACACAGACACATACATAAATAAATTTTTAAAAATCTTTTCTTAAAAAGGAAAAAAAAAGCCAGGCGGTTGTTGCACACGCCTTTAATCCCAGCACTTGGGAGGCAGAGGCAGGCGGATTTCTGAGTTCGAGATCGAGGCTATCCTAGTCTACAGAGTGAGTTCCAGGACAGCCAGGGCTACACAGAGAAACCCTGTCTCGAAAAAACAAAAAAAAAAGGAAAAAAAAAAAAAAAGACCCAGTGTCTAAGCTTGTCGCTGAAAGCCAGAGTGTGCTGGCAGGGACAGTACAGAACCATGGTAAATAGTTACAAGGCCATTCCAGACATTTACGCCCTAATAGAAGTCATATTTGAAAAGATACTTAAAATTCATCTGAGCATCTTTGATTTCTATGGGTAACCAATCCCCTGCCAGTCCCCTCTTAAAGTGAACAGTTCAGAACTGAGTGACCATCCCCACTGTCTCAGGCTGTCTCCTGATTTTTTTTTTTTTTTGGACTGTTTTAGGACCTGGGAAGTTAGTGCTGGGGTTCAAACCCATGGCTCTCCACACACACTAGACATCATGCGGAACCACATCTTTTTTTCTTTTTTCTTTTTTTTTAAGATTTATTTATTTTATCTATATGAGTACACTGTAGCTGTCTTCAGACACACCAGAAGAGGGCATCAGATCTCATTACAGATGGTTGTGAGCCACCATGTGGTTGCTGGGAATTGAACTCAGGACCTCTGGAAGAGCAGGCAGTGCTCTTAACCGCTGAGCCATCTCTCCAGCCCCCGCGGAACCACATCTTAGCCCCAGATCCACTTTCAAACCTCCCTGTATAGAACTCTCCAGACCACAAGAGTGCCTCCCTGGTTCTTAGCACTCACAACTCTGCTTTCAACACACATTTGTATTGTACACAGGTGGAGTGGGAGGTCCTGGTTGGACTGTGTCAGAGCCCCTTTCACTCAGCACCACGTTTTTCACTCGCTATAAATTACTAGGTCAACTCTCAATGCCAATATTCTTGGGTGCTCAAAACAGAAGTGCAAACTGATGTGCCCTATACACCGTCAAGCCCAGACTCTCAGCAAGAGGAAGCTCAAGATAGTTTCCTCTTCGAGCAAAAGCCATGAGAGAGTTGGGCAGAGAGCCCTGGGCAAATGCAACAGGCTCTCGAGCCATGGCTGGTGACGATAGGCTCAAGGGCAGTAAGCCCCTCTGTGTGGCCAGTGTGACTCACGTATGACCTCCAGCCAGCCATCGTTCAGATCGCCGTAGTCCGAGTTGCCTCTGCTCGCCACGTGTGTTGCCTGTATCAGCAAATGCAGTCTCTGAAGGACATTCTCCCTGCAAGAGAGGAAGATAAAGATTCTCAGTCAGTGGCCAGCGGGGCTGGTCCTCAAGTCCACTTCCAAGAGTGGCCATGCGTCTTTGCTGGGAGCCCAGATAAAAATCTGCTGGAGCAACTGGCATTAAAAACCAGGATGTATATGCGTGGGTGTATGCTGAAGAGATGGTTCAACAGTTAAGAATATTTGCTGCTAGCCGGGTGTGGTGACACATGCCTTTAATCCTAGCACTTGGGAGGCAGAAGAAGGAGGATCTTTATGAGTTTGAGACCAGCCTGGTCTACATATCAAGTTCCAGGACAGCCAGGGCTACGTAGAAAAATTCTGTCTTGGAAAAACAACAAACAAACAAACAAAAGGAATGCTTGCTGTTCTCCAGACTTGGGTTTGTAGCATGTCAGTTTTTAAATACATGCTTGCTCCTTGCCTGGTGCTGGCAATGGACATCTCACCCAGCCCCCACGGCTAAGGTTCAATTCCCAGCACCCACTTGGTAGCTCACAACCATCTGAGACTCCAGTTCTAGGGCATCTGACAGCCTCTTCTGACCTCTGCAAGCACTGCCTGCACATGGTGCACAGACATACATGCAGGTAAAAAAAAAAAAAAAAAAACAAACAAACAAACAAAAAAACCGCTCATACCATAAAATGAATAAATCTTAAGGCGGGAAATGTGCTGGGAGGGGCCAGTGAGGTGGCTCAGTGGGTGGAAAGTTTGTATGCAGGCCTAAAAGCCTGAGTTGGATTTCTAGACCCTACAACGTGGTCAGAGAGAGCACTGGTTCCCAAGAGCTGTCCTCTGACATGTGAAGCACATGCATGCTCACACACCCTCCTACAAAATAAAGATAAATGTTATAAAAAAAAATGAGGAAAAAGAAAGAAAACAAGAAAAATAGCAACTGGTGGGAGGGTGTGGAAAACCTGGAGCCGTCCCACTCTGCTGCAAGGAGGGCAATAAGGTGCCACCACTGTAGTAACAGTGGGTTCTGCAGATGGAAAAGGGGATTACCAGATGACCTGGCACTTCGATCCCTGGGGGCACAGACAGAAAGAATGGGAAGCACATTCAAACAGAAAATTGCACGGGCCTGTGTGCAGCAGCAGCACACAGCCAAACGACGGAAAAGCCAGATGTCCATCAACCCAGGCTAGACAAGATGTGAGATAAACAGACACACAGAGGCAGGCTACGAGTCACCATAGAAACAGATGGAGCTCTGGTGCATGCTGTGACACGGAAAATGGCCGGGTGGGTATGATCCCATTTCAATATCCAGAACAGGCAAAGCAGAAAGCAGGGTGCTTGGTGCCTGAGGCTTTGTGGAGGAGAACCGGGGGAGTAACTACTTACACATACAGATTTCTACTTTTGGTGATGAAAATACTGTAGAGCTAGATAAAGCCTGTCAGAACTTCACGAATGGCCTAAACGACGCTCGGTTGTTCGCCTTTCCTTGTCTTTAGTTTTTTAGCCATTTGTGTGTGTGTGTGTGTGTGTATGTGTGTGTGTGTGTATGTGTGTGTGTGTGTGTGTGTGCATGTATGAGCCAGGGCATACTTGGGGAGGTCAAAGGTCAACTTAGTGAGTTGGTTTTCTTTTACCACATGAGTCTTGGTTTTTTAACCCAGGTCATCAGGCTTGGCAGCAAGTGCCTTTCCCTGCCAAGTCATGCCAACAGACCATTTGTTTGATGGTATGTTGAGACAGGGTGTTAGGTGCAGCCCAAGGTGACCCTAAGCAGCAATCCTGCCTCAGCCTCTAGAGTGCTGGGACAGAGGCATGAGCAAGTGCCTGCCCGTGTCACTTACTTCCCAATGGTTAAATACATTATGGGACTGTTACATAACTTAAACAAAAACAAAAAACATCAGAGCTACCAGGATGGCTCAGGGTAAGACACACACACACACACACACACACACACACATGTACCAGGGCACACAACCACCTGTACACACACATACACACCAGGGCATGCAAGCACCTGTACACACACATACATATACACACACATCAGGCACACACACACACACTCCAGGCACACACACACCAGGCACACACACACCAGGCATGCAAGCACCTGTACACATACATATACACACATACACACACACACATACCAGGCACACACACTCCAGGCATGCACACACACACACACCAGGCATGTAAGCACCTGTACACACACATATACACATATACACACACTAGGCACACACACACCAGGCATGCAAGCACCTGTACACACACACACACACACATGCTCACACACATATACACATATGCACATACACACACAAACACTCTCCCATACACAGACACACACACCACAAACACTGGGACATGCTTAAACCTCTCCTCCCTCTCTCTTCTCCCCCCCACCTCTCTCATACCCCCCTCCTTACAGACACACACAGACACACACACCAGGGCATGCATGTACCTATACATACACACCCATAACAGGGCATGCATGCACCTGTACACACACACACACGGTATACATGTACCTGTGTCCATACACATTATACACACACACACAATAATCATTTCATAAATGTTAAAAACAAACCTGTGTGTCCACCACTCACTGTCACACGCGCTGTGTGTGTCCACACCATCTTTAGTTCACTGCAACTTTTCAGTCTTCTGTCTTTAACATTCACTCAGGAAATTAATTTTAAGGAGACCACTTAAAATGCAGGAAAATTCCTCAGTGAGCCAGCTTTGGGGAGTTGGAGACAGGACGACTCAGGAGTTGCAGATCTTCTTGGCTACGTGAGACCCTGTCTCACACAAACCAAGCAACGAGAGACTCACCTGAGCTGGGTACAGTTCTCCTTAACCCCAACTTCCAACAGGCAGCCAGAAAAGGCGTCTTCTCCAAATAAAACGGGCCTGAGAGCGGCTGATGTGCACAGGCCCCTTCCAGCTGCAACAGAAGGATGAGCCCCTCACTGCTAAGTACAAGTAAAGACTTACTTCAAGGACTTCCAGCAAACTCTCTCCAAAGCACTCAGGAGGCTGAGGCAGGGGTATGGCAGTACAAGGCCGGCCTGGGCAAACAGAAAGACCTTGTTTCAAACAAACAAAAGGTGTCAATTTTTATCTTTTTGGTTTTTTTGGAGACAAGGTCTTTCATAGCCCAGGCTGGCCTGAATTGCTTATGTAGCTGAGGATGGCCTGACCTCCTGATCCTCCTGCCTCCACCTTTTAAGTGCTGGGACGACAGGAATGCACCAACACACCTGGCTAAACAAAATAAAAGCAACAATGAAAAGCAAAAATAAAGTTTCTGGCTTTGGAAAACTCTAATCCCAACCTGTGGGTCATGACCCCTTTAGGGGCCACATACCAGATATCCTACATGCCGGGTAGTTATACCGCAACTTATAACAGTCACAAAATTACAGTTATGAAGTAGCAAGGAAATAACGTTATGGCTGGGGGTCAGCACAACATGAGGAACTGTATTAAAGGGCCACAGCCTCAGGAAGGCTGAGGACCACTGCTCTGATCTTTCTGATCCTTTCAAAGCCAAACGAAGGCACCATTCTGTGCAAGAATTCTTGAACCAGGTGCAGGGACTTCCTGTAAGTAAACCAGATGTTGCTGCTTCTGGCAGGTGTGGACAACTCCTTCTGCCATGCTGGGGTGCCCTCTGTTCAGAGGGAGCTGCTCTGGCTCCAAGGAACAGCATGATGGGCTAAGGCAACAGACAGCACAATCCTGCCTGAATCGCTCTTACCCAGTACTTTAGGTACAACATGCAAAGCATCCTTGAAAAAGAAAGAAAAAGTCCCGGAAACACAAAACGCAGCCCCTCCCCACACGCCATAAACCAAAAGGGCAGCAAATGTTTCCAACTCCAGGCTATTGGGGGCAGATCACATTTAGCCAATCACAAATGGCAAAACCACCTTACCTGGCTGCCAGAGGTGCAGCGTGGTGACATTCATCCCGTTGGTATGCAGGGCTCGGACCGGCTTGCCAAGCTGGTAACCTAGACACAGAAAACAAAGCAAGGAGAGCTGCCATCTTCCGTCCCCTTAAGAAGGTAAAACTGCAAGAGGGAAGCTGGAGTGCTTTGAGGGTGTTTGGCCCAGGGAGTGGCACTATTAGAAGATGTGGCCTTGTTGGAGGAAGCGTGTCACTGTGGAGATGGGTGCTGGACCCTCCTCCTGACTGCCTGGAAGCCAGTCATCTCCTGTTTGCCTTGGATATAGAACTCTCAGCTCCTTCTCCAGCACCCTGCTTGCCTGGACACCGCCATGCTTCCTGCCATGATGATAACAGACTGAATCCCTGAACCTGTAAGCCTGTCCCAATTGAATGTTGTCCTTTAGAAGAGTTGCCTTGGTCATGGTGTCTCTTCACAGCAATGGGAACCCTAAGGGAGCCTGGGCATTGGCCATTTGTACACACCACCCCAGCAGCCAGCACAGCAGCACCTGGGAGGCTGAGACAGGAGGATGGTGATTTCTATTTACTATTTTCATTTTTTTTTGTTTGACTTATTAAATTCTTAGCCAGGCGTGATGGAACCCATGTGTAACCATAGTTCTCGAGGTGTGGAGGGAGGAGGCTCACAAGGCAAACCACTTACACTGAAGGCTGTGCCATCTACCTAGCAACGGCACCGACATTTCCCAAAACAACTCCCTACAGCAAAGGCCTACTCAGTGCATATCCACACTTCCCTCTCCATCCCCGAGTGTGCTTTACCGCCAGTGCTGCAAATCAGGAGCCAGTCAAGGTCTCTGTACCACTTCTATGTCAGGCCTTATTTCCCACCATTCCTGAATGCCAGCCTCTCCTAATGTATTTGATTTATCCCAGCTTATCTAAAATATTACCATATATGTTACCATATCTCAAGTGCTGAGCAGACCCACGGGATGTAACAGGCACCGAGAGGCCAAAGGACGGCGAAATAAGAAGATAAATGAATAGCAAGCTGGTGTTAGCCTTTCCTGAGGTGACACGAATGAACATGCAGTCAGGAGACACAAGGCATTGGTGGGCTGGCTCACAGGAGTGTGGATGACTGTAGACAGTTGCATCACTGAGAATTCCACCCAGCATGGGTGGTGACCTCCTGTCCCACGGTACCTCCCAAGCCCACACACAGCTGGGGAGGGGAGCAGGCCTGAGCTTGTTGGGGGTCTCTCGTAGATACAGTCAGCCACAGTTGCTCTAAGGTAGTAATGGCTACTCAGAGGACAGTGGCCCACACCAAGAGTATCAGGTTTCTTGAAAGGCCAGTGGCACCAGGTGATAGTACTGTGCCCTTAATCCTAGCTACTCTGAGGCTGAGAGAAAGGCATAAAATCAAGAGTTTGAGGCCAACGGTGGCTGCACACAAACACCACATCTCAAAAACAAAACAAAACAAAAACAAAAACAAAACCCAGGGGTCAGAGAGATGGCTCAATGGTTAAGAGCATTTGTTGCTCTTCCAGAGGATACAAGATTGGTTCCCAGCACCCATGCTGGGTGATTCACAACAGCTTGAAACTCTAAATCCAAATAATCTCACACTCTCTTCTGATCCCCACGGGTGCCTGCACACAAGTGGGACATGTGCATGAACACACACACACAAACATAAATAAAACATAACAATTATTTTTAAACAAGGGGCTGGTGAGGTGCCTCAGCAGTTAAGAGCAATGGCTGCTCTTCTGAAGGACCAGGGTTCCATTCCCAACACCCACACAACCGCTCACCACTGTTCTAGTTGTAAGGAACAACTCCAGTTCCGGGGGATCCAACAGACACACATGCAGGCAAAACACCAAGGTACGTAAAATACAAATAAATCACTAAAAAAAATTAAAACAAAACAACAACAACAAAACCATCTTGAAAGAGTCAAGCACAGTGGCACAAGTCTTTAATCCCAGTACTAGGAGGCAGAGGCAAACACACCTCTAGTCCACAGAGAGAATTCCAGGACAGCCAGGACTAGCTACACAGAAGAGCCATATGAAAAACAAACCAAAACCAAACAAACCCACAAAACAGAAGAATAAAAGACCAGGGATGGAGAGATGGCTTAGCAGTTAAAAGCACTGACTGCTCTCCCAGAAGTCCTGAGTTCAATTCCCAGCACCCAGGTGGTGGCTCTCAACCATCTGTGATCCGATGCACTCTTCTGGTGTGTCTGAAGACAGCTACAGTGCACTCATATACATAAAATAAATAATTAAAAAAAAAAAAGAATGAAGACCCAAGGCCAAAGAGAACAAAATTTGCATGCAAAGCAACACTGTGTATTAAAATATAAATTTACCACAGGAGAAAGTAGACTGTCATGGGATAAACTGGTCATGGAGACAAACGCAACTCAAGATAGTTCCTCATGACCACGGGACAGCCCAGGATGCCACCCTAAGATCTGTGCAGAAGAGTAGCACTGCTATTCATTCTACCTGGATTTCCGGAAAATTCCTTCTCACCACCACTGTTATGGCTTAAAAACTTCACTGTGAATCTCTGGGTCATGGTTCCTAGAAACAAAAGAAACCGGAAACATAACGTGCACCATTTTGTTGGGAAAGAAATTAACTCCCATGAACATGATGCGTGCATGCTGGAAGACTGAGGCAGGAGGATTGCTTTGAGGCTGAGACCAGGGCTACACATCAAGGCACTTTCTTGAAGAGAAAAAAAAAAAAGAATCAAAACAGAAACAAGACAGGTGGTGTTGCACATACTTAATCCCAGCACTCAGGAGGTTGTGAGTTTGAAGCCAGCCTGGTTTACACAGAAAATTCCAGCTAAGGGCTATGCAGTGAGACCTTGTCTTTATTTAGAATTTTTTATTTTTTAATAAGCCGTCCAGTTTAAGGTAGTTTTGTTTTTTTTTGTTTTTTTGTTTTTTAAAGTCTCTATGTAGCTCTGGATGTCCTAAAACTTCTTTGTGACCAGGCTGGCCTCGAATTCAAAGATCCTCTTACCACTGCCTCCTGGGTGCTGAGATTAAAGGCATGTGCTAGCATGCCCAGTCTATTCTCTTCCTTATTCTAAAGTTACATCTTATTTATTTCGTGTGCATGTGTGTGATACAAAAGAACTGGCAAACACATGGAGGACCGCAGACACCTTAGCCTTGTCGGTTCCACTGGATCAAGCTCGGGTTGTCAGCAGCAGAGGGCTTCAGTGACTGGTAGAACTGTCTTCCCAGCCCAATGGTACTATTTACATTATTATTTTCATTTTTAATTGCATGTGTGTGTGTGCATATGTGCATGCCAGTGCAGGTGTCTATGGAGATGGTCAGTCTCCTCTGAGCTGCCTGGTAGAGATGTTGGGAACAGAACCCAGGTCCTCTAAAAGAGCAGCTGAGCCATCTCTCCAGCCCAGGTACTACTTTAAAAAAATAATAATAATCACTTTTTTTTCCTTGTTCTTTTGAGACAGGGCTTTACTGTATGTACCCAGGCTGCTCTTGAGTTTACTGCCAATCCTCCTGCCTCAGCCTCGGGAGTGCTGGCATTACAGGTGTGAGCCACCATGCCTGGCACAAAATTTCATTTGATGTGCAAAAGAATCCTGAATCCTTGATTCAGTGAAAAACACACAGGGTTAACAAGTCTAGCTTCGGGCTGGAGAGATGGTTCAGCAGTTAAGAGCACTGACTGCTCTTCCAGAGGTCCTGAGTTCAATTCCCAGCACCCACATGGTGGCTCACGACCATCTGTAATGGGATCTGATGCCGTCTTCTGGTGTGTCAAGGACAGTGTGGTCATATACATAAAATAAATGAATAAATCTTTAAAAAACAAAACCAAGTCTGGCTTCATTTCAGGGGCTATAGTTCCGAAAACCACTGGGGAAGGAGACACTTCGAACTGAAAACGTTCTGGACCTCTCACTGACATTACCTCTCTGGTGGGCGCTGATTTCTGCCCTGATGACTGTGATGTCTAGGCCGATGATGGAATTATTTTGCCATCTGAAAACATAATGCTCTTCCACACTCACGTTTCTGGGGGCCGATCCGGCGCTTAAAATTGTGTCTACAAAGACAAGAATATACACATAAATGAAAACTCTTTCTGAGCTACAATCTGTTACTTGGGGGGTGGGGGTGCTCTCTCTTTGCCTCAGTGGGCTCCCGGTAACCTGTCTCTCCAGCTCCCCAAGGAAGCCTGGCTACCTCTTCCTCCATGGAGCTTCCTGTGGTCTCAAGTCAGGGTCGGCCACATCCTCCATTCGACCTCAGTTCCCTGAATAACTCTGTCCCTTTCCTTTGATTCCTGTGAACTCAGTGCTTGGCTCATAGCAGGAGCACAAGCAGGCACTTGGGGACACTCATGCTCCGGAAGCAGAGGCTTCTAAACACACAGCCAGGAACAAGGTCATAAACCACTGGAAAGGAACACAAACCACACCTTCATTCAAAACAAAGGGCTACTCACGTCAGCCCCACCCACACAGCTGCTAGGGCAGCTTTGCATGGCTTCACAGATGCAAAGCAGGTTAACTGCCAGCAGGAGAGACAGCTCAGATCCCTAGAGAAAGCCAGCTGAGGGGGCCTATCAGCAATTCTGGTGCTTAGCCTGGCAGAGAACAAGATGCCCCATTTCAGACAAGGTGGGAGGAGACGAAGAGCCACAGCCCAGGTTGTCCTCTGATTTCCATGCATATGCCTCCACTCATAACAAACATGCACACATGTCATACACACACACACACACACACACACACACACACAGATTAAAGTTGTTTAAAACAATAATAAAAATAAATCTTAATAAGCAAATACAAGCTGGGTTTGGTAGTGCATGCCTTCAAATCTCAGCACTCAGGAGGCAAAGGTATGCAGCAGATCTCTGTGAGTTTGAGGCCAGCCTGGTCTGCAGAGTGAGTTTCGGGGCAGCTAAGGCTACACAGAGAAACTCCGTCTTGGAAAAACCAAACCAAACCAAACCAAACAAACAAACAAAATCAAATATAAAACAAATGATACAGACATAGTGGCTTACGCCTTTAATCCCAGCATTGGGAAGGCAGAGGCAAAAGCATCTCTGTAAGTTCAAGGCCAACCTGGTCTACATAGACAGTTCCAGGACAGCCAGGGCCACAGATTGAGACCCTGCCTCAAAACCAAAATGAAACAGAAAAGAGCACGTGTGTTTTATAGATGAGTACGTGTGTTTTATAGATGAGCACGTGTGTTTTATAGATTTGGCATGAACGTGTAACACTGACGCACCTGGACTGGTGATGCGCTTGTCCAGGTCAGGGGCTTCCTCATAGGTGACTGTTGGTGTGACCAGGCCTAAAAAGACACAGAATTAACTTCCACAGCAACATGTGGTCCATCACGGGGGCGCCCACCTACTCACAGGAGGCATTTCAAGGTAATAAGGAGCCAGGCAGCTTTGTGACCCAGACTTACAATCCCAGCATTCAGAAGATAGAAGGAACACCCTAGGCAATACTACCTCAATAAAGTAAGTAAAAAGGAGAAAGACAAAAAGTGAAAAGAAGAAAAGAAAGAAAGAAGAAAAAAGAGGAGGAAAAAAGAGGAGGAGGAGGAAGGAAGAAGAGGAGGAGGAAGAAGAGAAGGAAGAGAAAGAGGAGAAGGGCTACTGTGCAACCATTCCTGTGGCAAGAGGCCTCCCAGCCCTCTCCTCACTCCTACACCATCAGAGGCTGGGATCCCTCTGCTCCTGGCCCCTCACTACACCTGCACAGAAGGGTGGCAGGAGCTGGTACCAGTCCCTGTGCTGTTGCTCTGCAGGGTGGAATATACACGGAGCAGCCACTTTGGAAGAGTGTTCTGTCCCCTGAGCTCATCAAGGAAGCTGCATGGCATGGTGATCCCATTCACAGGACTGTGCCCAAGGAAAAGGAACATCTATCCCACAAAACTGTGTCCTCAAGTGCTCACTCCAGCACTGGTCACAAAACCAGGAAGGGGTGGTGCCCACAGGTGGACAGCAACACATAGCTGACCCATACAATAGAATAATAAGCCCCCCTCTCACCCCCACCTCTGCCCCCCTCCCAAGAAAAAGCAGCACAGATGTGTGCTTTCAAAAGATGATGATAAAGCCAGGCAGTGGTGGTACACACTTTCGATCCTAGCAATTGGAAGGCAGAAGCTGGTGGATCTCTGAGTTCGAGGCCAGCCTGGTCTACAGAGTGAGTTTGAGCACAGCCAGGGCTACACAGAGAAACCTTGTCTTGAAAAAAAAATAAAGGAAAAAAACAAGCATAAGGAGAAGAGGAAGTCTGGGGTGGGTGAGGTCCTGAGCCAATGTGTATTTTGATATAAACATGGACTCTGGGACCCACTGGCCCATGGCAAATTGGCAAAGCCGTTACCCATATGGGCCAGGCTCAAAAAAAAAACAAAAACACAGCAAAGCTTTCTTTGGGAGTCCCAGTACAAGTGTTTATGAACTATTCACCAGCATATGCAAAGACTAGCAAGTGCAGCTTCCTCCTGGACGTTTACAGCCTGAGTCCAATGCCTACAGAGACCTCCTCCAGAGACCAGCTAACCTCCTCTGCACTGTACCTAATGCACACGCTGAGGTTCCCGGCTATCACAGTAGCAGTTAGAGAACCCTCCCTGACCCATCCCAGTTTCACACTGTGTGTGTGTCTCTCCTTTCTTCAGTCCTTCCCTGCCCCTAGCCAGGGTTCCTGGACCCAAGCCTCTTGGGATGCACCAGCAAAAGAATGTTTCCATCGAGGTGAAATGCAGAGACAGACAAGAGCTTGGTGGCTCACTGCTGAAAAGATGCCAGCTCTCTGTGCAGGTGCAGAAAGATCCGAGGCTACTCAGAAGTGTCGGGTATACAGTATTGTAAAGAAAGCTGCCCGCTCACATGACATTACGGAGATTTGACATAACTGACAGTAAAGCCCTGGTGTGGAGGAGTTACTCAGTACTAGACCACTGGGTTCTACGCCCAGTGCAGAGGAAAACACCAATCACACACGCAGGGTGCAGTTCAATCAGACTGAACTCTTGCCATGAAAACACCATCCTCAACCAACAGCTGAACCATCACCGGATGCCAAGCCAGTGGCTCAAACACTGGAGAAGGAGGGCTTCTCTATCAACAACACCATTCTAACCGTAAAGGCAGCCTACCTCCCGTCGTGCGGATCTTCATGTTCTCAAGGACAATTTCATCCTGACCTTGGTGTACTTCCAGGTCCCTGGTGCATATACTGTCAAAATTCCTCAGGAAAGCCACAGGACTGTCCTGTAGACACTGCCCAGCCAGAGACACCTGAGGGCGAGGAACAATTACAGTACATTGATTTCTTCCTCCCGTCTTAGAAACGGTCTTTCTGCCAAGCTTGGTGCTCCAGCCTGCAATCCTTGCACCCGGGCAGGGAGTGCTCTGAACTCAGGGCCAGCATAGACTACAGTGTGAGACTCTATCTTGAGGCTACCCTACTCCGATCCTACTCCGAGTTGCTTTCTTCTACCTGGCCCTATTGCTGGACAATGTCTATAGTAAGTACCCACGGTGACCAACTTTAGGGAGTCAAATCTGGAAGCCACCACTAACAGTTAAGTGTTCTCTAATACACCTGGGACAGACCCTGGCTGCGTCCACTACGTGTACAAGTCACGATGTATATTCAACCGTGGTGTCTCCCTCATCACAGCCTGATTCTGGAGGGAGGTAGGAAAGCCAGGGCCCCACATGGAAAAACCATAGCCTCTACTGCAAAGCACCACCTCCTGCCCCCAGACAGTTTCAGTAACATTAAAATTGGTTCCCAGGGATAGGCACGGTGGCTCACGTCTTTAATCCCAGTACAGAGGCAGAGGCAGGTAGATGTCAGTTCAAGGCCAGCCTGGTCTACAAAGTGAGCCCAGGACAGCCAGAGCTGGTACCCAAAGAAACACTGTCTTGAAAGTCCAAAAAAAAAACCAAAAAACAAACAAACAAACAAAACAAAACAAAAAAAATGGTTCGCAGGAATAACAGACAAACTATCTGGTATTCCATGTACTCCCAAAGACAGGGTTTCCTAATGATGGACTCAAAAAGCAAACACTTCACATGCCTTCTAACATTTGGTTTGGTTTGGTTTTCTTCTTTTATTCTTTTGTTTGTTAGTTTAGACAGGGTTTCTCTGTGTAGCCCTGGCTGTCCTGGAGATTACTCTGTAGACCAGGCTGGCCTCGATCTCACAGAGATTCTTACTGTCCCTGCCTCTGAGTGCTGGATTAAAGGCATGTGTTGTGTCACCTTAAGTCGTGCCTGACTTAAGACCTTCTAACCTCAAAAGATTTTTCAACATTCCGAACGTTATACTCAACCATACATTTAGAGCGTCTTAGAAAGGGCTGGGGCTGGGGGTGTAGCTCAGCTGTAGAGCCCTTGATTGGCATACACAAGGTTCTCGGTACCAGCCCCAGTACAATAAAAACATAAAACACCAATAGGGAATGAACTGGAGACTAACCACCGCCTCCAGAGTCCACACAGAGACTCCCCGGGTTTATGACACAGGTTCCCGCTTCGACTTAGCAAAGACAGGGGTTGAGAATGAGTCTTTTCAGTCTACAGACTGTTAACAGTTAATGCACAGGAGGAAGGTAAGCTCAGAGGGAGATTCTCAGAGGCAATGCGAGGTAAATCCGAGTGTTGAAATAGAAGGCATTACCTGAGGGATGGTAAAATGCCCCTTCGTGGTCATTATGGGCTCTCCTTGTTTGTAACTGGCCTCAGCGAAGTCTCTTAGGTCGAAGTGCAAATGGGCTTCAAAGCCGGGGGAATGTCTGGGGGAACTGCGAGACCAGGAGACACGATCAGTGGGCCTGCAGGGGGCCTGCTCAGCCTGGGCACAGGTCCAAGACCCACCCCAGAACAATTAAAAAAAAAAAAAAAAAGACTAGTAACACTTCAGCTGTTCTTGCTTTGAGACAGGGTCTCATGTCGCCCAGGCTGACCACAAACTCTCTGCGTAGCCAAGGATGACCTTGAACTCCTGTCAGACATGGCCTCCCTAACCACAACCTAGTGTGGGCTTCTTTACGGTACTGAGAAAAAATTGTGAGTCAAGTCAGGGACCCAAGAAAAGGAAACTCAGTGACCGTGGGGAGGAGTGCCCTCCCTGGCAGCACCAGGCACTCACGTGGCACCGTGGTAGAAGTGACCGAGGAATGGTGAGGTGGAGGGTGGCGACTGCACACACAGGAAGGGAAACCAGTCAGGAGTCTGGTGAGTAGAGCTGACTGCACAGCGATGGTGGAACGGAGGGCTAACGTGCCCTCCAAACACACCCGAGAAGCAGGACCATTCAAACAGCTCTCTGACCTCCGGCTGACAGTCCTGGGAAACAGATAAAAGGATGCCGAGGGCACACAAGCTCCCAGCCAACACGAGGACATTCGCTCTGGGGCCACCAGCGTGCAACCTGGTAGACGAGTCTCAGTCTCCTCCCAAAGTGCTTCGCAGAGCAAGAAGAATTCCTTGGGCCTGTGGAAATGGCTCAGTCAGTAAAATGCTTGGCACGCAAGCATGAGGACCGAGTTCCATTTCAAGAACCTACATAGAAAGGCTGGGTGTGGTGGCCTGTGACTGCCCAGGCCACTGAAGAGGGGCAATCCCTGAGGCTCACTAGCCAGCCAGCCGAGCCTACTCTGCCTGCTGCAGGTTCAGTGAGAGAGAAAAATTAAAAAGGGTGCATGGTTTAAAAAAAAAAAAAAAGGTGCATGGTGCCTAAGGTATTATCTTCTGGCTTCCACAAGTCTTTGGACACATAAGCAATCACACACACACACACTACACCACACATATATAAGCCTCTATAACATGCTCACACACTCACATGAACACACATGTGCACACTCACGTGCACACACACGAGCACACACACAAACTCCGTCCCTCACACTCGCATGAACACAAAGTTCCTTAGTCAGCTCCCCAGTGGAGTGCAGTCAGAATCTTCCAGCCTTCAAGGGAGTGAGCTTCAGTGGGAATGTCATCAAACCAGGCCAAGAGCTAGAGGTATGACCTCATCCACTCGGGAGAATCAGGCATGGGGATCAAAAGTTCAAGACCAGTCTGGGCTCCACAGCAAGTCGTAGGCTAACCAAGGTTCTAGAGTGAGACTCTCAGAACAGATGAACAAAGGCAACAACAAAACATTTCATTTTCCCTGGAGGAGAAGCAAAAAAAAAAAAAAAATTCTCAACCACATACGACCATATTTCTGCAAAAATGGGACACCCTGGGTACGAGAGAATACACCCGTCATTTGTCTAAAATTTTAAGATTTTAAGGTATGCATTATAAACCAGGGGTGGTGATATGTGCCTACAATCCTGGCACTCAGGAAAGCTGAGGCAGGAGGACTACCTTAACTTTGAGGTCAGTCTAGACTACACAGTGAAACTTGTTACTAAATAAACAAACAAGGGCTGGCAATGTGGCTCAGCGTGTGAAGGTGTCTGCTGCCAAGTGTGACAACTTGAGTTTTATTCCTGGGACCTCCCACAAGTTGGCCTCTGACCTCTACAAGTATACTATAGAATAATCCTCCATACCACATTCTCTCTCTCTCTCTCTCTCTCTCTCTCTCTCTCTCTCTCTCTCTCTCTCTCTCTCTCTCTCTCTCTCCCCCCCCCTCTCTCTCTCATACAAAACAACCAAACAAAAATGATTTGCAAAGTGAAATCTAATCTCTGTTGTCACCTATCCAAAAGCTGCTGGTGGCGACTGCTGGAGTCTCCCATACCTTCTCAGATAGCCAGGTAAACCGAAAAAAAACCTTACCTGGTCACAGCAGCAGCGAATGTCACAGGCCTTGGCTGTCAAGTCACATGGACAGGGACCCAGGGGCTGATAGACTTGGTTAGGAATGACCGTCATGTTCTCTGAAAAGTACACGTCAAGAAAAGCTCAGCTACAAAAGAATGCCACAAGGCATGAACACGTGTTTGACATTTCCAAAAAAAAGACTTGAATCACAATTTGTGCTTGTGTGAATGTGTGTGTGTGTGTGTGTGTGTACATGTGTGTGGAAGGCCGGTGTTTTCTCTACCCCTTGGTTTTTGGTGGTGGTGGTTTTGACTCAAGATCACACTACGTACACCTTGCTGGCCTGGAACTCAGATCCATACACAGCCAGTTGAAGGACACAAGCCAATGGATCCGCTGAGAAGGCTCCTCACAGACTCTACACAGCACAGGGAAGCCAGGGGCCAGCTGGGCAGTGGTGGCACACACTTTTATTTCCAGCACTTGGGAGGCAGAGGCAGGTGGATCTCTGTGAGTTCAAGACTAGCCTGGCCTACAAGTTGAGTTCCAGGATGGCCAGGGTTACATGGAGAAACCCTATCATGAAAAACTAAAAAAGAAAAAGAAGAACAAGAAGAAGGAAGAAGAGGAGGAGGAGGAAGTAGAAGCAGCAGCATCCAGGACCAGACAACAGACCAGGCAAGCACAGTAGGGTTAGTCTGTGTGACCACACTGAGTGTACCAGGAGGCCTTTCTCGGCTATATGAGCAAACAGAGGCTCCTCTTGGTGTGTCTGCTCACCACACACTCCTGTCTGTCCTTCCCTCCTCCTGGTTTGGATCTATGCCTACTAGGTCTGTCAGACCATCATGAGTTCTAAATCTACACAGCCCATCCACGGGCGGGTGTTCCAGACATCTCGTAAATACACTGAAGCATTTTTTTCCTCAGAGGAATACTTATAAATTGATTTTGAGTTTGTTTATATAGCGGGTTACGTTGATGAACTTCTGTATATTGAACCATCCCTGCATCCCTGGGGATCAAGCCTACTTGACGGTGATGCTATGCATTTTTTTTCTTATGAGTTTATAAACTGATTTTGAATTATGTGTCTTTGTGTATGTGAGTGCGGGTGTCAGCGGAGACCACTGGAGTTCCACACCTGTGAGCCTCTTGAGGTGGGAGCTGGGGACCATGGGTCCCCCGGACCAGCGGTATGTGCTCTACAATCTGGATCATGGCTGCTACGAGGGCCTCCTGAAGGCGTTTACATCCTCGTTGGATTTCTCTGGGAGCTTCCTGAAGGAGCCACTGGTTATTTTCTTGGCTTGCTTTGCATTTTAAGCATTAAAAAAAATACTGTTTTCTTCTTCCTTTAAAAAATGAACTGGGCATGATGGCTCCTGCCCTCGATCCCAGCACTTGGGAGGCAAAGACAGTAGGATCAGGAGCTCAGGCTAGCCTCGGGAACACAGTGAGCTCCAGGTCAGTCTGGGCTATGTGAGTCTCTCTGTTTCAAAATACCAATTGAAATTAGGTCATGGTGGTGCACATCCATAACGGGAGCACACAGGGGGCTGAGGCAGGATGATTTGGATATGGAGAGGCTAACCTTGGCTACCTAGTAAGATTAAGGCTGGGGCCAAAGCTACACAGGCAAGAGATGCTGGAGTCTGATGCAGGCTAGAGAACAACGGTGGTTGGCACCTATGGCAAGCTAGCCCATGTCATTGTATGTCGTTCTTGTTACTTTTTTAGAGACATGGTCTTATGTAGCTCAGGCTATCCTCATACATACTATGCAGCCAAAAACAACCTTGGATTTTCTCATCCTCCTGCCTCCCAGTGCTGGGATCACAGAAAAGCACCACCTTGCTCAGTTTTCTGCATTGTTGGGAATTGATCCCACAGTGTCCTGCATGCTAGGCAGGTACTCCACCACACGGGCTGCACCCGCGGTCCCTCTTGTTTCTTTTTCTTTTGAGTTTTAGAGAGCTTATTACAGATTCATAGGTGGGAGCCTAAGAAGGAGAAAGAGTCACGCCATCTGAGTGATACACAGAGGTCTGGTGCAGGGTGGACAGGCACACGGTGGGAGGGGAGAGTCAGAGACAGTGTAGGAGAAAAGGACACAGAGTGCACGCTTAGGCTCTAGCCGGCCTCAGAATGGCAGGAGAGAAGAGAAAGCAATAGCTGTGCCTCTCTGGGTCAGCACAGAGGAATGCAGGCCACGTCTGTTCTTGTTCGTGTATTTTCTCATGCTTGGGTACCAACGCATGGGAACCAATTCTACCTTCTCCACAAAGGCACTTGAAAAAAGTGATTTGCAAAAGATTCGTAAGGACAGGCAGATAATTAGGTGGGGAGGTGTCTGACACAGACTGTCACTGTGTAGCCCTGGCTGTCATGGAACTCACTATGTGGACCAGGCTGGCCTCAAACTCATAGAGATCCGCCTACCTCTACCTCGGCAGTGCTGGGATTAAAAGCGTGTGTCACCACTGCCTGGCTGCAATCTTAACTCAATAAAATAATACAGAGTAAAAATCTCAAAACAAACAAATAAAAAACTAACACCCATCCCCACCAAGAAAAGAGTACATTTAGGAAGGCAAGAGAGACCCAAGAGTTGAGTCTGGTGACTGAAGACGAGGCTTGGTGGTTAAGGGCGCTTGCTGTTCTTCCAAAGGACCTGGGTTCAATTCACATTACTTACAAAGTGGTTCATAATTCCAGGTACAGGGGATCTGTCTCCACCTCCTGGCTTCTTCAGGTCCTGCACAAACGTAATGCCTATACACTCATCCAATCACAGGCACATACATACATACATACATACATACATACATAAATTAATTAAAAACAAAAAAAAATTAACTCAGGAGCCAGAGGCAAGACATCTCTAACCTGGTCTACATAGTGAGATCTAGACAAAACAACCCGATAACAGAGGTATATCTAACACACTGTACACACTACACAATCTTCAGATGGTGGCTGACAGAAAATGTTTTGATGGCAGACATCACTTGCCTGATGCATTGTGGGTTACAGACGTGTTGGGATAAATCTCCACCTGGATGAGCAGATGTGCTAAGCAGGATGCATTGTGGGATGCTGAAACCAGCAGAGTCTGCACGATGCACGGGGGCTCTGAGAACGAGGCTGTCTCATCTGTGGAGCACCAGTCCAGACCCCTCTTCCACCTTACGGTCACTTCCAGCATGTTCTGGAAGGGAAACACACAGCTGTGCTTTTAAAGTGACTCACCTTGAGTGTCTGTAATGATGAGGACGAGGAACGGAACGCACTGTGAAGGCCACGTGGGCCTCGCTTGCTCTGTTTTACCTAAGAGCTGTGTACAAGATGGCGCACCTTACAAAAGGAGCCCTGCATACAAAGATGGCAGCGCTCGCTTCAGTGTCAACCAACCTGTGGCACGTAAGCTCTGGAGCCTTTCTCATACTACGTTTGCTATTTATTTACTCATTTATGTGGTGTGTGTATGTGCACACATCTGTGCTGCTGGGATTCACTCAGGGTTTTGCACATGCTGGGCAAGCATTCTACCAGCAGAACTATATTCCTAATATAGTTAATTCCTAATTTTAAAAAAAATTTTTTTTCTCTTGGAGGCTGGAGAGATGGCTCAGTGGTTAAGAGCACTGACTACTCTTCCAAAGGTCCCGAGTTCAATTCCCAGCAACCACATGGTGGCTCACAACCATCTGAAATGGATCCGATGCCCTCTTCTGGTGTATCTGAAGGCAGCTACAATATATTCATATATACAAAATAAGTAAGTCTTGAAAATTTTTTTCTTTTTATTTATTTGTGTGTGTACAAACCAACAGAGGCCCAAAAAGAATGCTGGATGCCCCGGAGCTAGAGTTATAGGTGTTTGTAAGCCACTGACATGAGGACTGGGAACTGGCTCTAGTTCTTTCTCTGTTAAAAGCAGTAGTCGCTCTTAACACTGAGCAGCTTACCCAGCTCCATTTCTTTCTTTCTTCCTCCCCCCCCTCCCTCCCTCCCTCCCTCCCTCCCTCCCTCCTCCCTCCTTTCTTTCTTTCTTTCTTTCTTTCTTTCTTTCTTTCTTTCTTTCTTTCTTTCTTGCCAGATCTCATGATCTCACTGTGTATCTCTGGCTAGCATTGAACTTGCTAAGAACAGCAGGCTGACCTCAAACTAAGAGATCAACCTGCCTCTGTTTCCTGAGTGCTGGGGCTAAAGGTATGCATCACCATGTCCAGCCCACTTCCTAATCCCGTGTGTGTGTGTGTGTGTGTGTGTGTGTGTGTGTGTGTGTAATATATATATAATTATGAGCATGGGTGTTCTGCCTGTGTGTATGTGTGTGTACCATGTGTGTGCCTAACACCCTCAAAGGCCAGAAGAGGGCGCTGGAGACCCTGGAACCGAATGAAGTTACAGAGTGCTTTGAGGGGCTGTGGGTGCTGCTAGTTAGTCCTGGGTCCTCTGCTAGAACAGTATGTGCAACAACTAAATCATCTCTCCGGCTCCCCTCCCCCACTTTTTCATCTTAAAGACAAAAGCAAACAGTGGGGCTGGAGAGATGGCTCAGTGGTAAAGAGCACTGACTGCTCTTCCAGAGGTCCTGAGTTCAATTCCCAGCAACCACATGGTGGCTCACAACCATCTGTAATGGGGTCTGATGCCCTCTTCTGCTGTGTCTGAAGAGAGCAGTGGCGTACTCACATGCATAAAATAAATAAATAAATCATTAAGAAAATAATAAAAGCAAACAGTACTTGGACACGTAGAAAAAACTCAACACAGGTCCAGTGTATGAACCCAGCTTGTGAACCCAGCTTGTCAAGAAGATTTTGAAGTGTTTATATCTTCCCAGTAGCTGAAGATCTCACACACACATACACACACACACACACACACACACACACACACACACACTGTGCTAGGTAGTCTTGCATCTACACAAGCTAGAGTTAGTTGAGAGGGAACCTCAAGAAAATGCCTCCATAATACCCAGCTGTAAGGCATTTTCTTAATTAGTGCCAGCCCTGGGCTGGTGGTCCTGGGTTCCATAAGAAAGCAGGCTGCGAAAGCCAATAAGGAGCATCCCTCCATGGCCTTTGCATCAGCTCCTGCCTCCAGCTTCCTGCTCTATTGGAGTTCTATTGGTGGTTGAGTGACGAACCACCTCAACTTGCCTTTTTGGTCATGGAGTTGCCTTGTAACAACACAAATCCTAAGACACACACACACACATGCATATACATAGAAGGCCCTGCAAAAACCTACACAGGAGGCTTCCAAAGGTGCAATGAAGCTGTTGCCTTAGGTCTTACCGCTTGGGGGCTCACAGTCACATTCCAATCCGTTGTCACATTCCAATCAGCTGTCACATTGCTGAGGCCACCACAAGTAGGAACTGGCAACACTCCTAAGCGAGAAATTAGAATCTGAGGTAGCTAGGGTCGAGTGGCCTGGGGTAGGAATCCCCCCAGACAAGCTACATGAGACTGGTCAAACAGTATGTCTCATTTGCCAAACGGGATTTTAAAAGGCTCTGCTGTTCTTATGAGAACTCTGAGGTACTGTGTGGGAATCTCAGGGGAGCTAGCTCAAAGAATGGTGGCCTTTTATTTTCCTTAAAAACAAACCAAGTTTTATTATGCAAATCAGACTGACTACATATCCACATATCCACCTGGGTCTGCCACCTCAATTCTGGGATTAAAGGCGTGTGCTACCACCATGCCTGGCTTGTTGGCCACTTTTACTTCAAACTCTCTTATCCAGGACCAGTCCACAGGGCCTACAACACGCACAGACACTGCCTTCCGGCCCCACTCCTATTCTGCTGAGAATAAAATTCTGAAGGCAGCACCCACGCTCCCAAAAACAACTAGAGTCCTACCTTCCTCGATCTGCAGTGGAGTCAGAGACACGGTGACATCCTTGCTTCCTCCGACCAAGGACGCGCGGACCTCGGGGCTTGACATCCGGATGAAAGGTGGGATGAAAACTAAGAGGGAAGGAAGGGTTTACGGAGAGGGGTTAACGGGTGCAGAACCTATACCTGGGGTGCGTGTGCTGGCTTTTTACGTGGCCTGGCTTCCGGGATCCTAGGAACCGCAAGTCTCGCCCTTTACGAGCCAGATTCCCTCAGCCTGAGCCATGCAGGCCATACCCCCGCCATACGCACCCGGGTCCCCGCGCAGCGGCCTCAGGACGCCCTGCAGCAGGAGGAGTCCCCACAAGAAGCTGAGCTGTGACAGAGAGCCCATACCCGGTGCAGGTCTGCCTCAGAAACCCAGAATAGCCTGGAAGAGAAAAAGCAGCGGCCTTTGCCGCCTGGCCGACGCCATATTGCCAAGCTAAATGCCCGTAGCCATGGCAACCACCAATGGCTGATGCGAATGTCGTGATTGGTCCAGGTTTACAGCTCCAGCGAGAGGATCAGTAGCCATGGTAACTTCCAATCGGCCAGCCGCGCTCTGTTCCATGATTGGTTCAGAGCAAGAGCGCGGGTTTTCCGATCACCGCCCAGCACAACACATCCCAGATGTAAAAACAAAACAAAACAAACAAACAAACACCGAGGGGTTGGAGAGATGGCTCAGCATTTCAGAGCAGTTGCTGCTCATGCAGAAGAGCAGGTTTTGGTTCTCAGCACCCATGTGGTAGCCCACAACTTCCTGTTATAGCTCTTGGGAATCCCGTCACTACAAGAACATGATGTGCATACATACATCCAGGCAAACACTCATACACACGAAATAAAGCAAACCTATTAAGTATCAGAATTGTACATGGGTGGGAGAATATCCAAGGTTAATAAATTTAGAAAACTCCAGAGTCGTAGTTTGACAGACTTGTGTTAGCCATGCCAGGTCACCACACGCTATTGCTTGAAGACCGCTGTACATTTACACAACATTCCAGACATGGTTCTGGCTGCTAGTGCAGGTTGTGTCGTCTTGATAACACCAAAACTGTAGAACTTTGTACTATAGAGCAAAGCAAGAGAACCTTAGAATATTAGCTCAAAGTACCCCTTGCCTAGTCACCATATTTAAAATATGTGTACTTCGTGGTTTGGACCAAGCCATGTTCTGGTTTTCCTTCAATCCCAGCCATAGATGGTTCATCGCCCCAAATGCAGCCTGTTATGCAACATCCTCCAATGAAGATGTTTTAAAAAAAAAAAAAGGCTCAAATCTGCCTTGTGTTTTATTAGTTCCAGTTGGCAAAATAAACCCAACAGCATCCTGAAGGAGACAGTGTGGATCCATATTTAAATAAGGCCATAGGATAGGGTCGGGGTGTGTGGGGTGTTCATACCAGTTAGGTAAGGGATGCAAGCCAAATCATCTTGGAGTGGCCCGGTCCTCCTCTTCCAAAGAAACCAGCAAAGTGCCCATGGATCTGTTGCCACTGCCATCCTCCATGAGGGACAGCAAACTGGCTCGGGCTTTCCACTGCCACCTCAGGCCACAGTCATGTGACCAGCAGTGGTCCCCAGAGCAACAGCAGGAGGCCCTGCACAGCCACTGCCACCTTTACGTGCTGACCCTCCAGGCGGCGGCAGCTCTGGCAAGTCTCTGGCAAGTCTGTGCCGCAGCTCCTTGTATATAAAAAGGCAGGGACAGTCCCACATGGAATTGAATGAAGACAATTCTCAAGAATTAATTTTATTCTTCTGCCATGTGACCCTGAGAATCAAAGTTGGGTCATAAGACCTACTGAGCCATCATGCCAGACTGCTGGATGGTTTTGTTTTTTTGTCTTTAGTCTGCTGTTTGTGCATGTTTATGTCTGGGCATCTTGTTTGTGCTTGGTGCCTAGGGAGGCCAAAAAGCGGGCATCCAATTCCTTAGAACTGGAGTGACACAGGTGTGAGCTGGTGTGTGGGTGCTGGGAATTAAGCCTGGATCTTCTGGAAGAGCAGTCAGTACTCTGAACCACTGACCCATCTCACCAGGGCCTTAAGAAAGCTCTTAGTAACTGGGTGGAAGTGGCACACACCTTTAGCTCCAGCTCAGGTGGCAGAGGCAGGTGGTTTTCTGAGTTCAAAACCAGCCTGGTCTACTGAGCAAGGTCCAGGACAGCCAGGGCTACACAGAGAAACCCTGTTTGAAAGGGGGAAAAAAGCTTTTAGTAATATATTTTTTGTCTTTTCAAGACAAAGTTTCTCTGTGTTGTCCGTCCTAGGACTGGCACTGTAGACCAGATGTGGCCTCAAACTCACCGAGTGCTGGGATTAAAGGTTTGCACAGTCACCGTCCAGCAGCTTTTAGTAATTTCAAGAAAAACTACTCAATGCAAATAGAAAAACACTTTAAGGAGAATTAGTAAATATAAAAATAGGATTTTTATTGTTGAGATTACAAATGTTTCTATGGAACTTATTTACATTTCTAGTATTCAACAGTTCTCCAATGTTAATATTACTGGGTTTTGGTTTTTATAACTTTGTAAACAAGGTGGCAAGATGCAACCCTGGCTGGTTTGAACTCATTATGTAGACCAGACTGGCCTCAAACTCGGAGATACATTTGTCTCTGCTCCCTGAGTGATGAGATTGAAGGCTTGTCCCTTGCAGGATCTGAACCCAAAACTTTCCTGTCTCAGCCTCCCAAGTTCAAGATTCTAGCAGTGTACCACCTGAACAACTAGGATGCTCTGTTATGACTGGTACCATAGCCCAATGCTGGTCACCTTCCCGAACGGAATTTCAACTTCACACAGGACCCATCTTGAAGTACAGAAGACCCAGCATCCACCATAATAAGCTCTGAGATCATCTGAAAACAAAACCCCCAGGGAACTGACTACAGCTCAGTGTGGGCTGTGGCCTAGCTCATGCAAGGCTGGGGTTCAAAACCCAGCACCAAGAATCAAAGCAACAACTGACAAAGCAGCAACAGCTTAGAACTGCCAGGCAACTGCTACCCTACAACAACTGACAGAAACGCTCGTGTCCCCCCCCCCCCCAGATAAATCCGAGATGTGGGGACCCTTCAGCTTCACACCCTGGAAGCACAGGACCAGAATAGTGCTTCAAATTCCTCCGTGGTCCCTACAAAGAGTCGGCCCGAGGGAAGAGATGGGGAGCTTGTACCGCTCATCACAGTGACACCTTTTGTTTCTTCTTCTTGGCCTTCAGCACAGGAGGGAGGGAGATCTTAAAAGCTGTCCTGGAATGAGAGAGAAGAAACACCTCAGGTCTCTGAAGCTCAGGAACCTGCTCCCACCCAGCGCCTGCAGAGGTACTCACTCGCACGTGGTGCAGATGGGGCTGAAATTGCAGAAAACTGTTCAGAGAAGAAGGACATTAGAGGACTTGAAAAGCACAGGTTGCTTTTTGCCCCACCCCCAGCCCACACCCCAACACAGACAGTACGAAAAACTACACATGAGCTTACTAGACAGACACACAGAGCAGACATAGCCAATCTCAATGAGACTTCGATGACAGAAGCAGGCAGCCCTGTAGTCCACATGGATTGGAGGTGGGAGGATGAGCTGAGATCGCTGATCTTGATCCGGAAGAAAAACCCACTGTTTAAAAAAAAAAGGAAGAATAGGCAGGAGACTTTTAATTACATCATGGGTGGAAAACCAGCAAGAGTCATGACACACCAGTAGTCTCTCAGCACTGAGGACAATACTAAGTCCGGCTTTCCGTCAGGGCCCGTGAGATGGCTCAGTGGGGAAAGGCACTGGCCACCAAGCCTAATGGATGACCTAATTCCATTTCTGGGACCCACAAGATAGAAGGAGAGAACTGACTCCTGCAAGTTGTCCTGAGACCTCCACATGTACTCAGTGACAAGCATGTACCCACACACATACACAAAATAATAAAAAGAATTTCCTTTAAAGTCTATTAAGACTCATTTTTATTCATCCTACAATTATTTAAAAAATTTAAAAATGTGTTATTTTCTGTGCTTTTATGTGTGTGAAGTGCATACATACTACAGCACATGTGGTAGTCAGAGGACACTGGTTGGAGCTGGTTCTCTCCTTCCACTGGTGGCCCTGGGCTTGAACTCAAGTCACCAGGCTTGGCAGCAAGCACCCTTACTCACTGAGCCATGTTGTTGGCCCCACTCCACCCTTACTAAGCCCTGTGCTATATAGTCATATGACATCTGCAAACATCCTTCAGAGTTCAAAGACCTGACCATTCACCCTCTCAGCCAGGGAACTCTGAAGCCACTATTTACCCCGGCAATTCCTTCCCTGGGCGTGAGAGGTGGGGGAGTGCTGCTGCTGACTCACCAGTAAGTACTGCAGGAGAGAAGGCATCTGTGGCACCTTCAGGTACAGTCCTCCAGTGATGTCACAAGCCTGTAAAACAGAGGGGTCACTGCCTGTGGCCTTCCCAGAGGAGTGGGGTTCATGAGGGACTCCACAGGTCTGTAAGGTCAGTGTGTGAGGTTTGTAGACACATCACTGTCCACACTTCAGACACACAGCTCTGCCCCAGGAGGCTACGAGACAAGTGGAGTCTCATCTTCAGGAAGCAAGCTCTTAGAGTGGCCAACAGACAGGACAGCCTCTGTCGATGTGCTCGCCTCTGGCAGCTTCACTCTGCCTGCTGTGCCAGGCAGCGTTCTCCAAGCTTCCCAAGGCTTTGCTAGTTTTAAGGGGGCGGAGGAGAGCACATCGAGCTGCGGGACACAAAACTGATGTTACACTCAATTCCTGTAACAGTCATGTGGGGAGATGGGGAAGGAGATGAGGGACGACCAGAGCTGAGCCTCAGCAGGGGGACAGCAAGTGCCACGGCACTTGTCGGCAGCAGCCCAGGTAACTGTCGTTTCAGGCAACACCAAGGAGTTGAGGGGGCCCAGAATGAAAAGAGAAGATGAGGGGTAACCAGCAGGCCTCAGCAAGGTCTTGGGTATCAGCCAAAGTGTGCTGGGACAATGGGGCAGGGAGTGGGGTTGGGGTGGGCCTCACTTATGCTGTAACTTTGTGACTCTGGGGAGGACAGGACTGGCTAGCGGAGGTACGAGCACTAACAGAGCAGCTATCAGACAGCTGCAGGACCACAGATGGGGAGGCTAGGAAAGAGGACAGGAGGTGGGATTTGGGGTCCACGCTGAAGATGGATTCAATGAGATCTTAGCAATATGGAAGGAGGGGAAGAGAGAAGGGGGAAAGTGAGGTTGATCTGCCCCGTGAAACCAGGCTGTGTGCAGAGATGGGGCTCAGAGTTTGGGAGAAGCCACTGTACAGGAAAGGGTCTGTTCTAGACACGGTAACTGAGATGCCCAGGAGGAGATGGCATGTGCACTGTAGAACATGCCTGCCTAGACCTCAGAAGTTGCACTGGACTCGAGGTATCACAGGGAGGGACGGGGGGTGGGGGGGGGCAGAGCCAGTTTTCAATCAGAGTTGAGATCTCTGAGCTAGAGGATGCTTTGAGAGCTACAAATTGTCACCTCCTTGAAAGCCTGATCCTAAAGCACCGTGGGAAATGCAACAGTGTTGCATGCAGAAAGCACTGGTGCAAGGAAGGAACGAGACGAAGGCAGAGGTTCCCCTCATTTGAACACTGTACACTACACAAGCACTGGAATGTCACACGACACCCCACACAGGAGGAATTCCTATATTGTATCTCATCCTCATGAGGTGGGATCCTAAAATTCCAAATGCATAAAGTATACTTCATTCTTAGGTATCTCTCAAAAGTTTTTAAAAAAATTACATTCTTATGTACTTAAAAAGAAAAACAAAACAAAAAAACAGGGCTGGAGAAGTGGCTCAGTGGTAAAGAGCACTGACTGCTCTTCCAGAGGTCCTGAGTTCAAATCCCAGCAACCACATGGTGGCTTACCAACCATCTACAATGGGGTCTGATGCCCTCTTCTGGTGTGTCTGAAGACAGTGACAGTGTATATACATAACATAAATAAATAAATCATTAAAAAAAAGAAATTTGAAAATAAAAAACAAAACAGAAATCAAACCACAGCCCACTGTCAGTTGAGCCTAAGCAACAGACAAGCCCAGCACCCCTTCCTACCCCTGTGGCTGACTGATCTGAACGGAAAGAGAATGTTAGCTTGTGCGTGTGCGCATGCACAGCACCGCACACAGAGACCAGAGAAGACGTGAAGGGGTCGGCTCTCTCCTTGCAGAATACTTACGGGTTCAGGAATGAAACTCAGGTTTTGGTGACAGGCCCCTTTAGCCACTGAGCAGTCTCACTGATCCACAAGAACTTCTTGTGAGCAAAAGGTCGCCACCCTCAGCCTGGTGGTTATTTCAGGTGTGGGTCCCTCTACCCTCCTGTCATTCAGTTTCAAACTCCTGCTCAGAAAGCAACATCTAAAGCAGGAGACCCAAGATGGACCTGAACCCAGCCTGGGCTAGGGTGGGCTCTTACCACCACCCAAACAAGCAACACTCAACACTGCTTCCCAAGACATATGGTGCAATGTACAGAATTTACATTTCCCTAGATGCCCCACTAAAAAGGGGAGGAGGCATGGTGGCACACACTTCTTAATCTCCACAGGAGGGAGGCAGAAGCAGGTAAATCTCGGAGTCCCAGGTCCAGATATAGCTGCACAGTGAGACCCTGGTCTCATGACCAGAAACAGATATAATCCCATTTTAATTACATATTAAGCTCTCTCGCTGTCTCCACAGGGTCTTACCCTCTAGCCTAGGCTGCTCTTAAATCCCATGATCCCCCTGCTGCAGCTTCCTCACTGCTTGGATGACCAGCATGTGCCAGCATGCCTGGCAAAGGTATCACCATCCCCACAAGTGCAGGACACACAGAATGTTCCTGTCCAAAAGCCTGCCCACTGCCGCACATGCCTTGGAAACGTACCTGCTGGAGGAGCCCTGAATCCGAGTCTAGGACGCAGGCATCAATGAGGATATTCTGAAAGGAGCATGTTGAAACATCACAGCAGTGCATATGGCTGTCTCAGACACGCTAGACTCTAGTCTTTTTTTTTTTTTCTTTTTGAGTCAGGGTCTCAACTCTGTTGTCTAGACTGGGATGGAACTTGTGGCAATCCTCCTGCCTCTGCCTCTGTCTCTGCCCCTGCCTCTGAGGTGTTGGTTCGTCAAGACTATATTCCTCAAATGGGCCCTTTAACATGTGTGATGACACTATGAGGCAGCCACTAAAGCATCCAGGACAGGTCTGAGCTCCTGGCTCTAACCCCTGACCCCTTTCACTCCAACACTCTTTATCCTGATGAAAATACAGGGCTCTGGCAGTGCTGCACATGAGAACTAAGGTTTGGAAAAGAGTTGGATGGCCCGGTGGGTAAGAGCACTGCAGCTCTTCTACAGGACCCTGGTTCAGTTCCCAGCACCCACGTGGTGGTTCACGTCATCTATAGCTCTAGTCCCACAGGGTCTGATATCCTCTCTTGGCTTCTGCAGGCACCAGAAATGTTGCACATTCATGTGCAGGCAAAGCACTGGGACACATTAAAAAAAGAATCAGAGAACGAAGAAAACATGCCGGGTAGTCTGAGCATGTCGGCTATTTGCAAAGTACACAGCACACGGCAATAAGAAGAGCGGCACTGTTGGGCAGAACAGTATATGCCTGTGATCCTAGCTACCACACAGGTTGATGCAGGGGATTCTCAAGTTCGAGGCCCATGTGGGCTCTAGGGAGCTCATGGCCCACCTGGGCAAGTCAGCAAAAACCTGTCTCAAAACAAAAGGGAGCCGGGTGGTAATGGTACACGTGTTTAATCCCAGCACTCAGGAGGCAGAGGCAGAGGCCATTCTAGTGTCAGAGCAGGTTCCAGGATAGGCAGGGGTTACCCAAGAAACCCTGTCTCAAAAAACAAAAACAGACAAACAAAAAAGATAGAGGAGTGGAGGGTTCCTGTATCAAACTGTTAACTCAGAGATTCTAATGGGATGAGTATCATGATACCCAATGCAAAAGCAAGTCTGAGTGGACAGTCCTGAGAAGACCACCCAGTCAAAAACTGCCCAGGATCCTAAAACAGAAAAATGACAAGTACTCAGTGTGGCTTCTAAATCCACAATCCACTGACACAGCCCTGTTTAGCCAGAACACTACTGTCCAAGAATGACAATGATCAAATTTTATGTGCCTTCATGTATTGTCTGCATGCATGTCTGTGTGAGGGTGTCAGATCCCCTGGAACTGGAGTTACAGGCAATTGTGAACAGTCATGTGGGTGCTAGGAATTGAACCTGGGTCCTCTGAAAGAGCAGCCAGTACTCTTAACCAATGAGCCATCTCTCCAGCCCCATTTGTTCGTTTTTGAGACAGGATCTTTCTATGTAGCTCTGGGGCTATCCCCTGGACTCCATATAGACCTGGCTGGCAGCTAACTCATAAAGGTGGGCATGCCACACAGGCTTCTGATCCTTTCTTTCGAGAACTAGCCAGGCTGAGGCCTCACCTGCTTCTGAGCAGCAAAGATGACATTCATGAAGCTCATGTACTGCAGCGCGCTGTCCTCCGCAGCCTTGATCACCTGCAGACACAGCCATCAGACCTCAGGGGCACATCCTGGGCACAGGGTGCACGGATGACAAGACCTACTGCAAGCCGCAGGTCGCTTCTCCAGTCCCTCTTCCTATTTAGTATGAAACCCCTGAAGTGTAGGATGGCACCAGAGCTTTCCTGGTCCTTGTTAGTCTGATGGACATCTGTCCAGAGTACCCAGCATGCATTCGGAGGCCAGGGGACAACTTTTGGGACTTAGTTCTCTCCTTCCACCATCTGGGTCCTGGGGATTGTTCTTCAGGCTTGGCACCAGGCACCTTTACCAACTGAGCCTCACTGGCCCAAGAGCTCTGGCTGTCCTGGAACTCTCTATGTAGATTAAATATTGTCCCTGAACTCACAGACACCAGCCTGTCTCCCTCCCCAGTGCTAGAATTAAATGCATATGGCACCACGCCTGGATTCGTTCCCCTGTCTTTCAGCTGTCTGCAGTTGTATGTAAGTTGTGTGTAATCTTACCAAAATCCTTGATTTCATCTCCTGATTATCTATAAAGAGATTAAGAAAAAAAAAAACAGGTTATAATTTAGCAAACATAGTAGCTTAAAAAGGATGTAGTCTTCTAAGCATTTTTATTTTATATTGAGACCGGGTCTCACTAAGCAGCAGCCCCGGATGGTCTGGAACTTGCTATGTATACTAGGCTGGCCATGAACTAGGAGATCTGCTGCCTCTGCTTCTGAGAGTCTAACAATTCTTAAATGCCCCACCAAGCATGCAGCACTAAACTCAACACGGTAATAGTTGCGAAAGAATCAGCTCTTACCTTTAACTGCCTTGTTCGCTCTGTTAATGTCTGGATTCAACGTAAAGGAATATAAAAGTGTGTTTCATCAGCAGGAGCGGGACAGACCTTCAGATTTGACACCAGACCCATCATCTACCACGACAGCTGTATGGGTGAGTTTAGGTTCAGTTACCCATTCTATACTCACAGAGAGCCATCTCCCCGGATCAGCAGTAGTTTTAAAATAACCCACATCAGGCCTGTGAGATGCCTTTGCAGCTAAAAGCACTTGCCAAGCAAAGCCTGATGATCTAACTTTGATCCCTAGAAACCATGATGAAGGAGAACCAGCTACTGAGAGTTGTCATCTGTTCTCACGTACATGCTGTGACGTATGTGCACCTCAACATTGTCTCTTGTATCTCTCTTTCACACACACACACAAACCACCACCACCACCACCACCACCACCACCACCAATAATAACCCATCCCAGCACTTGGGAGGCAGAGGCAGGTGGATCTCTCTGCATGTGAAGACCACAGCTCCGGACAGATGACTATCCACCATCCTAGATAGGAATACTAGGGCCACACCTAAACCCATCAGCCCATCCAATGAGATAACAAACTTTTTTTTTTTGTTGTTTGGTTTTTTCGAGACAGGGTTTCTCTGTGTGTAGTCCTGGCTGTCCTGGAACTCACTCTGTAGACCAGGCTAGCCTCGAACTCTCGAACTCAGAGATCCGCCTGCCTCTACCTCCCAAGTGCTGGGATTAAAGGTGTGCGCCACCACCGCCCGGCGAGATAATAAACTTGAAAGCCATACAAAGATCAGGACAACTGGATAAAAAAAAAAATGATGTGAACATCACTCAATACTGTTTAAAGACACTTCATGCTGGGCGGTGGTGGTGCACGCCTTTAATCCCAGCACTTGGGAGGCAGAGGCAGGCGGATTTCTGAGTTTGAGGCCAGCCTGGTCTACAGAGTGAGTTCCAGGATAGCCAGGGCTACACAGAGAAACCCTGTCTCGAAAAACCTAAAAAAAAAAAAAAAAAAAGACACTTCATAAAAGCAAGGCTGAGATCCCATGACACATGAAGTCAGGTGTGGGAAGAGTCTGGTGGCCCTCCGAGGAGTCCCATGAGTGGTACAGAATAGGGTCTAGGAGAAGCCACCACCTAACACCCGCCCCACAAAGACTTCTTTGGAACCCATTAGCACAAGGATACAGCAAAGAGCTTTGGCGAGGGATCCTGCCAGTAGTGTCTCTGTATGCTGGCCCTTGATGTCACCTGCAAAAGTTACAGAGCACAAAAGGGGGAAATTCTAAGTCCTTTTTCAAATGAAGTCATTTAGGCACTCAAGTATTCATGAATGAACCAAAAGATGACATGTTCAGAGGGGATTTTAAAACACAGAAACTAGCAATCAGTAAACAAAAGTAAGCAACTCTATACATCTTTCCAGAATACCTCGGTGTCTCTTTAGGGGAAGGAAAGGCAGAGATGGGAGTTGGTACTTAAAGGATGAAGAGGGACTGGAAAGATGATTCAGTGATTAAGAGCACTGGCTGCTCTTTCAGAGGACCTGGTTCAAGGTCCAGCACCCACATGGTGGCTCAAAACTGTCCAATTCCAGGGCATCTGATCCCCTCTTCCGGCCTCCACAGGAACCAGGCACACACATGATGGGTGCACAGACACACATGCTGGCAAAACAGCCATACATATAAAGTAAAATAAATCAATCTAAAAAGGTAAAAGATAAAATAAGGACATGGTGCTTCGTTTAGGAGAAGGTTTTAGAGTGGCCCTGAACAGTGTGTACACGCCTAGCACCACTGAACTGTACAGTCACGAAATGGTTAAGAATGGAGTCAGGTGTGGTGACCCACACCTTTAGTCTCACCATGCCGGAGGCGGAGGCAGGCAGGTCTCTGTGAGTTTGAGACCAGCCTGGTCTACACAGCAAGTTACATGCAAGCCAGGGCTACACAGGGAGATTCTGTCTCAAGAAAAATGTACTGCTTTGGAATTCAAATTTTCCCAGAGGCCCAAAAAGAGTATTGGATCGCCTGGAGCTGGAGTCAGAGGAGGGGGATGAGCCTCCCTACATGGGTGCTATGAACCAAGCTGGATCCTCTGCAATAGTAACAGTGCTCTTAACCCCTCAGCTATCTCTCCATCCCTAGAGCACAACTGCTTTTTATAAGTTTACAGCTGTGTGCCCATCACCATCACTGGAGGGTATAGCACTTTGAATGAGAATCGCTGCCACAGGCACATACATCTGAATCCTTGGTCCCCAGTTGGTGGAACTGTTTGGAAAGGATTAGGAGGTGTGGCCTTGTTGAAGGAGGCATGTCACTGGGGGTGGACTTTTGAGGTTTCAAAAGCTCATGCCACACCCAGTTTGTGCTCCCCTCCTCTGTGCTTTTGGAGTAGATGTAAGCTCCAGAACCATGCCCGCTGCTGCCATGCTCCCCATCATGAGGCTCACAGACTCTTCTACCCTTGGGAACCATGAGTCCCAAATTCAACACTCTGTAAGTTGCCTTGGATGGGGCATCTTACCGCAGCACTAGAACATAACTAAGACAGAGGCTGAGTGGAAAGGCCGCAGTGGAGAGACAGGCGTCTGGGCCAGCAGGAGGCTGATAGATGATCTAGCAGCTCTCAGATGGGGCCTGTGGGGCACTCTAGCAAAGTCTGAAGTACCATGTGGTCATAAAGTGGGGCCAGGCAGCTAGAAGGTTGAGGCTCGGGCTATGCCAAGTGTGCACAGTGTGGCATTTCATCCCAACAGTGCTGAGGCTGACTGAGAGTAAGGGTTAGAATGTGGTGAAGCTAAAATCACAGACTGCATAGCTGATTAGATGGTGAACCAAGAAGCCAAGAGCTTGGCCTTGAGAAACTAAGAAGACGGAGTGACAGACATAGGGAATGGGATGGTGGAGTTATAGCAGCCAGAGATATAGGGGAGACATGATAGAGAGACCGAGGGACAGGGAAACAGAGATGTCTGAGCTTAAAGTCTGGGATTTCATCAGACTGGGAAATGCTGCCACCTAAATGATAAAGGGCAGGGACAGGAGAGATGGCTCAGCGTTACCCACAAGTACTGCACCTGCAGAAGACACAGGTTTGGTTCCCAACCTGTTCCCAGTACAAACATCAGGCACTGGCATCTACCTCTGGCCACCTCAGGCACCTGTATGCACACTGCACACATAATCTCATGTAGGCACACACAAGCATTTAACCCTTTTCTTTTTAAAGATTTAGTTTAGCCGGGCAGTGGTGGCGCACGCCTTTAATCCCAGCACTTGGGAGACAGAGGTAGGCAGATTTCTGAGTTTGAGGCCAGCCTGGTCTACAGAGTGAGTTCCAGGACAGACAGGGCTACACAGAGAAACCCTATCTCAGAAAACCAAAAAAAAAAAAAAAAAAAAGATTTAGTTTATGTGTAGGAGAACTGCATCTGGGGTCCAAGGAGGTCAACAGCGGTGATCACATGCCCTAGAATTGGAATTACAGATGTTAGTAAGCTGCCCCAAGTGCTGGGAACTGAACCTGCAGAGCAGCCAGTGCCTTCAACCACAGAGCTTTGTCTCCAATCCCTCTAAGCATACAGTTTTCTTTAAAATAAATAAATAAATAAATAAATAAATAAATAAATTTAATCTTAAAAATAAAGATTAATAAATTTAGTCTTAAAAGTAAAAATAAATAAAGGAAGGTAAGCATCCACAGAAAATTCAAGATGTATTTTAAGGGACAAAGTAAAGGACAAACCTGACATAAAAAACAAAAGAAGAGCCAGGCATGTGGTACATGCCTGTAATCTCAGAACTTGGGAGACTGAGGCAGGAAGACCACAAGTTCAAGATCAGCCCAGGCTATTTGGGGAGGACCTGTCTAAACAGAAACAAACAAACAAACACTCAAACAAGACTGAAAAAGAATAGTCCAAAAAACAAGAGAAGAAAAGCTGGTTAAGGCCGGGCGGTGGTGGCGCACGCCTTTAATCCCAGCACTTGGGAGGCAGAGGCAGGCGGATTTCTGAGTTCGAGGCCAGCCTGGTCTACAGAGTGAGTTCCAGGACAGCCAGGGCTATACAGAGAAACCCTGTCTCGAAAAACCAAAAAAAAAAATAAAAAAAAATAAAAAAAAAAAAAAATAAAAAAAAAAAGCTGGTTAACAGTGTGTCTTCCTGGGAAGCCAGAGTGTTCTAGAGCCAAGAGGGCTTAACACGTATTTATCTTGCTAACTGAATATCACAGAGATGGAAAGGAGTGAACCAAAGAAGGAAGAGAGACATGTGGCTAGCACCTGCAGCTCAAATCTTTGAGCTTAAAGCCTCCAATGACCCCCAGTCAATGCTGTTTCAAAGGAAAAACAGTCTATAACACGCAAGACATTCCTAAGGCTCAGCAAGCACAGCGGAAGAGGCTTGGGGCAGGCAGACTGTAAGAGCCAGGGTTCAAGAGGACCTGCAAACAGTGTTCTCTGACATGGCAGGAAGCTACTCACAAACTCACAGCAGCCATACAGGATCAAGTCAGTATTTCAGCTGTCTGCCTTGATCTTGAACTTGTGGTCCTCCTGCCCACATCTCTTCACTGCCTCCCAACTTTGTGTCCTTTTTTAAAAATAATCTGGCTATAGTTGTAAATGCCTTTAATCTCAACAGTAGGAAGGCAGAGGCAGGCAGATCACTTGTGAGTTCTAGTCCAGTGTGGTCTACATAGCAAGTTCCAGGACAACCAGGGCTATGTAGTGAGAGCCTGTCTCAAAACAAACAAACAAATTTATGTGTGCTATTCACGTACTCATGCATATAGGGCCATTTATTGGAGCATTGTTGACCTATGGGGACCACACCCTTAAAGAGAGTCAACTGCACCTCACCAGGCTATCAACTGTTAATGGCTCCTCAGCTAGGGGTGGAGGCTCAAGGGTTCCTCCCCACTTTGAGGCAGTGAGGAGATGTGGGGAGGAGATGGGAGTGGACCTAGGAGTTAGGAAGAAAAATGAGGTTGATGAATATCATCAAAACCCATGGTATACATGCATGAAATTCTCAAAGAATTCATAAGAATTTTGCATTTCAAAAACATACAACAATTACCACCACATCAAGACAGCAGTGACAATAGCCAGGCTCTTACTCTTGGTCATCAGATCCTTGATCTCCTCAGCGATCACCTCATTTGCGGCTGTCAACAGCTCATATTTCCCATCTTTGCTCCCAGAGGGATTGCAGTCAGGAAGGGCGTTGCCAGGGTCTCCGAAGAAGTCTCCAAGTCTGCCTTTCTTCCCCGGGTATAAGAATCGACTGAGAGGGTAGGAGAAAGATCCCTCTGAGTAAACAGAAGGTGCTCTGCACATGCATGCAACTGTCAAAGAACTGAAAAGCAGCCTCAGGCCCCTACCTTTCCTGAATGTGACTGGCGATGACGGCCAGCTGGTTGGAGCGGTTCATGAACAGGTGGGAATTTGCCAGCACCATCACGGCATCCATGCACTTGGATAAAGTAAACTGACAAACACGAGAGGAAACGTCAGCTCCCACACGACTACATCCAGCCCAAGGACGGCGTCATTGGAAGGGCAGCTAGTTGTTACTTAGCTTTATCCACTTATACACTGGTATGTATAGGAAAGGGTCTTGCTACATGGCCTTGGGTAGTCTGGTGCTGAGTAGCAGCAAGTGTCCAACAATTCACCTGTCGCTACCGTCCCATGTCACGACAGGTGCCATTCTGTGTGGATGCTCGCTGACATCTGACACGGATTCACTGCTAAAACTCTGACGTTTCTCCTCTCCTAAACCCAAAGCACAGAGCTGAGAGGAGGCCTTCTTCACCTTAGTGACAGAGTCATTTACATATTAAAACCTTATCTATGAGATACTAGCATAATGGGGCCACGTGGGTAAATTTGGAAACCTGGAACTTAGGAGACAGAGGCAGCCAGACCACAAGTTCAAGGCCAGCCTGGGATACCTGAGATCCTGTGTTGATAAAATAAGAAAGCACAATCTTGCTTTTCCGCCCACATAGACGAACAAAAAGTGAATGTTAAAAACAGGATAAGGCTGTCTCAAAACTCCAAAGACCAGGTCAGGTGGGATGGCTCAATGGTTCGGGGTGCTTCCCACCAAGCCTGACTTCCTGAACTGGACTCCCAAGGCCCACATGATTGAAGCAAAGAACCAACACCCAAAAGCTGTCTACTGTCCGTCACACACATGCAGTGGCACACCATACCTTCCCCCCACGTAAATAAAAAACAAAAGATGTCTACTTATACAATAGCTATATGAACCGTCTAGAAGAGGAAAAGTGGACAGGAGGCCATCGATGGCTGCCTGCAGGTGAAGGACGGAAGCAGGCGCGAGGGTCAGCAGGAGCAAGGACTTTGCATGGTGAGAAAAAACATTCCAAGAAGGAACTGTGGGGCCAGTTATGCAACTTCCCTATGCGGTCTGTGTGGTGTAGTCGGCCGCTCTTACGAACCCACAGCTTTCCTTTCTGACAGTTTCTCTAGCCCAGACTGGTCAAAGATGAGCTTGACCTCTGGGGATCGGCCAGCTTCCATCTGAGCGCTAGGATTGGACAAGGGCCACTGAGCCCAGCTTGTGAAGACTCAGTCAGGGGGACAGTGGGTGGGATACAGGCATACTGAAGTTAAAGAGGAGCAGCACTCAAAGGCTCAAGCCATCTTACCTGAGATTCCTTTAACGCTTGCTTTCCCCACCAAATCGGGTTGGTGTCAACTATGATAACCAGCAGATTCAACTCATCTTCTGCAAATAGTAACAGAAGCAACGTTTAAAATGTCAGCCTCGATAAAATGATGTTACCATTCCCGATGAGCTGACTAATCGACTACGGGTCTTTTAATGGTCATCATTCTCAGATTGATCGTGACATCACAAAACAGGCTGAGTTTATGTAGAGATTAAGTCACAGGGCCGAGGACACAGCTTAATGAGTTTTGTCTAGTCCTGGGAAGCCCTGGGCTTGATACCTAGTATCTCCCAGTTTTAAAAACGAAAAACCAGGAAGGAGGCAGAGATGGCTTACTAGGTAAAGGCACCTATATCCAAGCCTGATGCCCTGAGTTCAGTTCCTGGGATGCACATGGTTAGATGAGACCTGACTCAGCCGGGCAGTGGTGGCGCACGCCTTTAATCCCAGCACTTGGGAGGCAGAGGCAGGTGGATTTCTGAGTTCGAGGCCATCCTGGTCTACAGAGTGAGTTCCAGGACAGCCAGGACTACACAGAGAAAGCCTGTCTCGGAAAAAAACAAAAACAAAAAAAAAAAAGAAAGAAAGAAAAAGAGACCTGACTCAACAAAGGTGCTCACTAACACACACTGCTAAGAAAAAACAAAACAAATTTCAAAAGCTGAGAATGATGGTGTATTGTCTTTAACACCAACACTTGGAAGGCAGAGCCAGATGGATCTCTGTGAGTTCAAAACCAATCTGGTGTAGCTAGTTCCAGGCCAAGAAGGGTTAAGAAGCTGCCCAAGCCTTACTCAGCTCTCAGCTGCCCTACATTACAAGCGGTAGTTGAGCATAGGCATGCGAACCCTCTGCTCCTGACACATGGTGAACCCAGAGGCATTCACATTTTAAAGGACTGGTAGGAATCTCTGGTAGGATTTCAGGGAGATTAGGGACCCATGAGGAGCTGGAGTGGCCCTAAGTTCAATCCATCATAAAACAGCCAAGCCAGGTGTGATTAAGAAAATTTTATTTATTACCTTTTATTTGTATAGCCCAGGCTGACCTCTAACTCCTTGTGTAGCTAAGGATGACATTAGACTTCTGATCCTCCTGTCTCTACCTCCCAAGTGCTAGTTTACACCACATCTGGTTGTAGGTAGTGCTGGGGATCAAATCAGGGCTCTGAGAATGTCAGGCAAGGACTCTGTTACATTGCTACATCACCTGCCCGGGAACCAACTTTTAAAAATACCCAAAAATGGGGGAACTAATTCTTAAATGGACAAAGTTTTTACCATGCAAAGGAATTAGGCCACCATCCAGAATGACAGACACAACTAAACAGGGCAAGTAACACAAGCACTCAACACACACCCACGCTAGGTATACTAGGACCAGCTGATGGAGGTGCTGGCTCCAAGTCTTTGAAGAATCGACACTTAATTCAGTTTGGTGTGGACACTGAACACAGACACTTGTGCGTTCTAAAAAAAAAAAAAAAAAAAAAAAGGACCCAGCCACCAAACTACATCCTTAGAACTTTAGAACTTTCTTGTTTGTTTGTTTTTTTTTGGTTTTTCGAGACAGGGTTTCTCTGTGTAGTTCTGGCTGTCCCAGAACTCACTCTGTAGACCAGGCTGGCCTCGAACTCAGAAATCCACCTGCCTCTGCCTCCCAAGTGCTGGGATTAAAGGCGTGCGCCACCACCGCCCGGCCTAGAACTTTCTTATTAAAAAAAAATTAGATCTTTTATATGCATGAGTGCTTTGACTGTGGCTATATGTACATTCATGCAGTGCCCTCAGACATAGAAAGATGGCGCCATATCCCCTGGATAGCTTTGCCACTGTCTACATGTTGGACTCAACCAGGGTCCTCTGCTAGTGTTCTTAACTAGTCATCATTCCAAGAACCATGACCCTTTAAAATAGGGTCTCAATAAATTGCCCAGGCTGGCATTGAACTTGGTAACCTCATACCTCTTGAGTATCTGGGATTATAGGCATCTGACACTATACCCAGCCAAGAGCATACAGTTCAAATGGACAAAGCAATCCTGCCAGTGCCCGCTGTCATGAAAAGCCTGGATGTTCACGTAATAGTACAAGGCAGTGCCCGATTTACTGCCTCCTCCATTCCCTCCCTCAGCTCCTTCATCGGGATCAGCCCCCACCTCCGGTTTCTGCAGAACCAAATCCTCACTCTTTCTTCCTTGCTAGTACCAAGACTGGGAAAGAAAGCAATGTGTTGCCTGTCAGAGATGTGTTCATGAAACCGCCCTGCCAATTTTCTTGAGTGTCAACCTCGCTACTTGACAAGCAGCACCAGGCCTGCCTTTCTCCTAGCTGTGTGAGAAGCGTCTATGGCTGCTGAATGGACCACTCTAGCTACTCTTGCTCCCACAATCCATCTTCCACACAGTAGCCAAAGTAATGCTTCTAATGTCAATCACGTAAATAATTCTGGGAGAGTGCAAAGGCTCAGCTGGTAAAGGTCCTTGCTGCCAAATCTGATGATCTGTGTTCAATTCCCAAGACCTATACAATAAATAAGAGAACAGATCCCCACAAGCTGTCCACTGACTTCACACACCAAATAAGTAAACACAAGGCAACAATCTTTGAGGAACAATGTAATTTGAAAACTGTAACTAGGGCCTGGCAGCAGTGGCACACGCCTTTAATCCAAGCACTTGGGAGGTAGAAACAGGTTGATTTCTGAGTTCGAAGCCAGCCCGGCCTACAGAGTGAATCAGGACAGCCAAGGCTATTACACAAAGAAACCCCATTTCAAAACAAAACAAAAATACAAAGAAAAAAGAGAAAGATAGAGCGAACACATGAACCTGTAACTAGGGGGTAGAAAGATGACTCAGTAGTTAAGAGCACTGACTGTTTTGCTGGTGAACCCAGGTTCAATTCCTAGCACCCACATAGCAGCTCACAATTATAACTCTAGTTCTAGGGAATCCAAAAATCTTCACACAGACATACATGTAAGCAAAACTCCAATGCACATAAAATGAGTTAAAAACTGTAACTAGTAGTTCACTGTATAACTAAGGACTCCCACCTTCCTCTATCCTCCTCCTTCCCCAGGTTGTTTGTACGTAAAGTGAACTTCATAATGTCGCTCACACCAAAGTTCCAGTATCTTCACTTTCCCTGGACTCCTAGTGAAAGGCAGTCCTTAGCTGCCATGCACTGTCTTCACAGCCCTGGTCACCTCTGGAAATTAACTTCACTCGCCAACTGGTCTCTCAACCCTAAGGCACCACACACCCAAAATTTCCCTGTGTCGATTCTGAGCTGTACTTCCCAGTTCGGAAAATAATGTCGAATACACAGTGGGTTACCCCAATATTTCCTGAATGACACATTGGGCATGCTGACGCAGGCCTATATCCCAGAACTCGGAAGGCTAAGGAAGAGAGCGTCTGCATAAAAAAATAATTAGGGCTGGTGAGGAACCTCAATTGGTAGAATGCCTACTGGGCATGCATAAATATCTGAGCACCACATAAAATCAAGCTTGATCGTGCACGTCTGTAATTCCAGCAGTCTAAAAGAGACTGGAGGATGAAAAAGATCACGGCCATCCTTTACATCACAGCGAGTACCTTTCTCAAAATCAAAATTGCTGAGTGAATGAACAAATATACTGGCTGTTCCTCTAAAGACCAAAAGTGTCCCTCCCACCCGGCTCCGCGTTTCGGTCTGTGCCACCCTCACCATCCGCAGCCATGGCTCCCTACGCCTCGGAGAAGAGCCGCCCACAAGGCCGATGCGCAGTGACTTCCGGCGCTGACGAGTGACGCAACGCAACCCGGAGGCGACGGAAATGAGGCGTGAGAAGTGCGACGCGCTGTCAGGCAGTGCTTTGCTGCCGGCTCGGTTGCGGGACGCGTCGCGAGGAAGCCATGGAGGACCGTGGTGAGTGTGTAGCCAGAGGGGCGGGGACACATGGTCCCGTCCTCGCACGGGCAGCCTGAGATCTGGGCGACGTTGTCTGGGCTCTAACCACTTTCCGCTGTCACTGCTCTCGTGTCTGTGGTCTGGGTCCATCGGACGCTCGCAACCTGGCATCAGCACACGCCGTTCGAGGGGCCTCCTCCAAAAAACTGGCTCTCACCTCGCAGCCCGGGTTCTAGTATCTTCTCTGTGAGCAGTAGGAAGAATGTATTTATTAAGCGAAAGACAAATTAATATACTGCTTTTAGTTTAAAAGTGAGCTGTAAACATTTATGTCTGTGCACATGTGTAGCCTTGATTGGCATTCACTGCTCAGAAGGCTGTAGACGAAATTGATGAAGTGGATGAGTGGATTCGTTAGAATGCTACCTCCTAAATTCTGTGCCTTTTGCTCCAATAGCTTTTTTAAAATATGGAAGAGGTATGTCCCTGCCAACAGTAAAGGAGGTGTCTTCTCTATCCCTACCAACATTTGTCTCCTTTAACTTTGAAAGCTTCTTTTAAAAATGTGTTTGTTTCTTATTCTTAAGGTTAGCAGTTGTTATCAAGATCTCTGGCCTCATGCTGCTAAGTTCACGTGATGACCCATTTTTTTTCCCCCTCTCCTTAGAGTTAATTGAATACTTTAAGTCTCAGATGAAAGGCGATCCAAACATGGCCTCGGCGGTGGCTGCCATCCAGACTTTACTGGAATTCTTGAAGAGAGATAAAGGTATGAATAGTCAGCCTCAAACAGTCTGGGCCTCAGGAAAGTCTTCAGATGACTGTTAGGAATGTGGACAGGCAGACATGTAGATCTATGTCCAGTCTCAAGCCCAACCTCTGTGTCCATGGTAGACTTGTTGGCCTGGAGGAAACCCTTGGGTTACACTGAAAGGATTCCCATCCACCTACAAAATATGCCCTATTGCAAGAGTCAACAATACAACCATAGCCAAAAGGCTTAAATTAGAGCAATAATTTAGCTTTACAGATGAGTACCAAGCTCTTAGCTTGTCCCTGATTCTGTGTAGTGCTGTAATGTTGTAGAATAAATTCTGGTATCAGTATTCATTGAGACCTACTGAGTATGGTAAGTCTTAGGATCCTGGATATAACATGGCTGCTTACACATGCAAAGGATGTGCCGTCTTCATTCTCATGGGGTGGCCAAGAGGAGAATTTCTCTAACATAGCATCGCATGTCTTCCCAGTGTACATACATTCAGGTACCCTGGAGCCTGCACTGTATCACAGATCACATCTGCCCCCGCTAAGTAATTACCTGCCATGCTCTCTTGCTGCAAATTCCTTAGTCCAGCCCTGCTGGCCGCTTGACCTTTACTTTCTGTTTTATTATTAGCTTGTGTGTGAGTGTGAGTACACACAAGGACAGCTGTCGGGAGTTGCTTCTTTCTTTACTCAGGTCACCAGGCTGGCACCACGAAGCATTTTGCCCATTTTGCCATCTCCTTGGCCGTCTTGGTTTTTTTAAACCAAGTGTGTCCCTTTCTTGGGCCTTGGATCACTGACATCTGCACAGGAGCTGTGCTCACTGGTCTCCGCATGTCTGAGTCCTTGCTCAAGCCTCGGTTTAAATGGCCAGTAATGCAGGAGGCCAGCCTTATAAAGAAGCTTGACCTTGTTCGTCATCCTGCCTTTTCCTGCCCTTGTTCCAGTTGGTAATATGGCCGTCTCTTTCTGTGCTTATTTATTGCTCCATGAGAACATAGCCCTCTCTCGTGCAGCATCTCAGTGGCTGGCACAGAGAAGCATCCAGTGTTCTTTGAAAGCATGAGTGAACCACAGACCAGTAAGGGCGGTGACACTAAATGGACATCACATTCCTCACTTTATCATTGTAGGAGAGACAATCCAGGGCCTGAGAGCAAATCTCACCAATGCCATAGAAACCCTCTGTGGTGTGGACTCCTCGGTGGCCGTGTCGTCCGGCGGGGAGCTCTTCCTTCGCTTCATCAGCCTCACCTCCTTGGAGTACTCTGTAAGCCCTACCCTCCCTCGGGATCCCTCTTGTCCGTGTGCGGGACCTGTGAGCTTTCCTGGCGTTCCGTCCTCCCTTCACTGTGTTCTCTCCTCCCCAGGACTACTCCAAATGTAAAAAGATCATGACTGAGCGAGGAGAGCTCTTCCTAAGAAGAATATCCCTGTCGAGAGAGAAAATTGCCCATCTGTGCCACACTTTCATCAAAGACGGGGCGGTGAGTAGATGCTTCCGTGCTGCTAGCATCAAGAGCTTTGGGGTCACGCTGCTGGGCCCTGAATCCTGGCTCTGTCACCTACTGCTGGGACTATGGACAGTCACTTTTCTATCCTGAACTTTGCTTGTATGTTAATAAAGGCAGCAGTTGGGCTGGAGAGATGGCTCAGTGGTTAAGAGCACTGACTGTCTTCCAGAGGTCCTGAGTTCAATTCCCAGCAACCACATGGTGGCTCACAACCATCTATAATGGGATTTGATGTTCTCTTCTGGTGTGTCTGAAGACAGGGACAGTGTTCTCATACACATAAAATAAATACATAAATCTTAAGAAAAAAGAAAAATAAGGGCAGCAGCTCCCAGGCTGGGTGAGAGGTGAAAGAGACGCTGTGTAGTGTGTACGCTGTGAATACAGACGTTATAGAGGCTCATCGTTGTGAACTGGAGACCATGAGACCAGCATGAGTGGGCCTTGGTGTGGTAGGCTTTTTACTTTATGTGGGGCTGGAGGTTAAAGCAAGGACCTCTAACCTGCTAGACATGCTCTACCGCTGAACTACACCCATAGCCTCTTAGTAAGCTATTTCTCTTCTAAGTACATTTTAATCACATTTCTTTATTTGTTTGCATGAGTATGCCTAGATGTCACAGTGAGTGTGTGGGGGTCCGAGGAATTGGTTCTTTCCACTGTGTAGGTTCTGGGCATCACACTCATCAAGCTTGGTGACAGGCACCTTTACCCACTGAGCCATTCACTTGCTCTGATTCCTATGATTGAGTTCCTGGTCCTCTAAGCTGAAGTGAGTCTGCCCAGACTAACTGGTACTGTGGTCACTGCATCTTTGAGCCAGCATCAGCACTAGGTGGAACTGTCTTCTTTATAGCTGCGACTTGTCCCTAGTTAAATGAGGAGCAGCAGGTTCAGCCGGTCTCCAGCTTACCCTGCCCACCAGCTGATAAACCCTGCAGTTGCTGCTCTTTTGCTCTGGGCCCCTCGGATGCTCACAAACCGGCTTCAGCACATGCTGTCCAAGATGCCTTCTCTGGAAAACTGGCTCTTGGAGCAGTGTGCCCTCAGCCTCACAGACCATGCCTGTATTTACTTGCCTCCTGGCTCTTACATCTCGCCCTGGGTTTTACAGCGCTTCTTACCTTTGAAGTGTGCTATTAAATATGTGAGAGGGTGTGTAAATGGTAGTGTCACAGACCTGGGCATTGGAGGCAAGGCCATGACCCTCCTCTCCTTGGCTCACAGTGTGTGCCTGTAGTATACCTACCACCCACAGCAGCCTGCCCTTAACCTTCCAGCTGGGTTCAAAGCAGAGCTGCAGGATCTCTAAGCTGTGGGCAGGACAGCCACAGGCTTGTTAAATGCAGACGCCTCAGGTCTAAGGTGAGGCCTGAGCACCCACGGTTCTAGTGAGCAGCTATGACGGCCATGTCCACTCCCTGGCCTTAAGTAGTACTCTGCATTCTTTCTTAGAACATAGGCTATGTGTGAGTCACAAGTCATGACCTGCACCACAGACAGTTGTATTTGCTGCACTGTGCCTGTCAGGTTTGAAGAACTTGTTAGCTCAGCTTGTGTCTAGTGACTAGATTTTTACTTCTAGAAAAATCAGGTGACTGCTGTAGTGGGACATGTGACAAGAAGGGCCTGGTTCCCTTGGCTTTCAACTGCTGGTGGCTTCACTGGACCACTGTTACTACCTACCGTTGCTGGCACCTGTAGGCCCAAGTATGCAAAATATATATCTGATTGCCAGGGAAGCCAACCTCTGATGGACTGGCTTATGTGCCTTTGGAGTTCTGCTCCTTGGGCAGAAATGTGGAACTGCTCAGTGGGCTTGAACGTCACTGTACTCTTATGTCACCCTTCTGATCATAGTTGGTTTGTAGAATACTGGGACGTCACCTGACAAGCAGGAGTCATACGTCAGTGCAGACAGGGTGGGCAGTGGCTGCCAGGCAGCTTGCCCCTCTGATGGACACTTCTTGTTCCATAGAGAATTTTGACTCATGCCTACTCCAGAGTTGTCCTGAGGGTCCTGGAAGAAGCCGTGGCAGCCAAGAAACGGTTCCATGTGTATATCACAGAGTCACAGCCTGACTTATCTGGGCAAGTATCTCACCACTGACCAGTGAATCAACATTGCCTTGGACACATTCATGACTGTTCCCGCCCCTTGGAGGAAAGTCCCTGTGGGTTTCCACAGGCTCAATACAGGCTGTGGTGTTTTTGTTTTGTTTCCAATGTTTAGGGTTTTTTAAGGGTTTTTCTTTAGATAGTTATGTCAAAGGAACAGCAGGACACTAGATGAACTGGTGATTGACAGCCCCATCTCCAGAAAACAAGAAAAGCAAACTTTGTTCTGTTTCGCTGTGGTGCTGGAAAGAGAATCCTGGTCTGCCCAGGCTAGTCAGGCACTCTGGAGCTCCACCTCCAACTCAGTAGTTTTTCAGACAGGGTTTCTCTGTGTTGCCTTGACTATCCTGAAAGATTTTATGTGCATTGGTGTTTTGCCTATATGTATATCTGTGTGAAGGTGTTGGGTCCCCTGGAACCGGAGTTACAGACCGTTGTAACCTGCCGTGTGGGGGCTGGGAACTGAACCTGGGTCCTCTGGAATAGCAGCCTGTGCTCTTACCTACTGGGCCATCTCTAGCCCCCAACTTCACAACCATCTGAAATTTCTAGGGGATCCCATGCCCTCTTCTGGCCTCAGGCAGCAAGCATTCATGTAGTATACAGACATACATGCAGGCAAACCACTATTCACATAAAATAAAAACAACTATGTCTAAAAACAAAAATTAAAAACTTTGGTTCCTGTTTCCTTGGTCCAAAGTCAGGATCTGTCCCTTAAGCCTCTGAGATCACAGGACATCTTGTCTAAATCAAGTTCATCAGGCATGACTGTGGGACCTCACTGAACTGTATGTCATGTTTTCATGTCACCTTCAGTAAGAAAATGGCCAAAGCCCTCTGCCACCTCAACGTCCCTGTCACTGTGGTGCTGGATGCTGCTGTCGGGTAAGTGTGACTCTTCCTGTGTTCCTGCATTGCTGGCTCCAAGGAGAGTTTGATCCTGTCCATAAAGTCTGACTGGGTAGCATCTCTCCCCTTACAATACGCAGTGCCCTGTGACAGGGTTATCAGAAGGTCATGAGAGGGCAGAAGACAGGCTGCTGGAGTCTTCTTTCTGAGACAGCCTCTTGTAGCCCAGGCTGGCCCAGAACCCACAGTCCTTCCTCAGAGTGCCAGGGTTGCTGGCAGGAGCCTCAGCCTGGCTGCTCATGTTTTCAGAGTAAAAGGCAAAGGTCAGGCTATGGTCAGCAGTTAAGTGGTCACTGTACTGTGTCCTCATACTTGGCTGTGCAGTGGCTCACTGAGAGCTTTGTCCAAGTTGGGTCATCAGTGTGTATCGATAACAAATAGTAGTGCTTAAACAGTGAGCTGTAACACACCTGGTAGTCAGCACTGGAGGCAAAGGCAGGTGAGTCCGTATCAGGCCAACTAAGTATTCCTATTTTCCGTTTCCTCAGCTATATCATGGAGAAAGCAGATCTTGTCATAGTCGGTGCAGAAGGAGTGGTAGAGAACGGAGGAATTATTAACAAGGTAGGTACTGTCACACTGTTCCCAGAAGCCCCTCCAGCCTGAGCAAGACCTTGGTCAGCTTCCTTCTTCAGAGGCTGATCTTGGTGAATTTAGTCAGTGGCATTTACATTTATACACATAGGTGCTTTCATTCGGATCTGTGATTTGAGACAGTATTATGTAGCTCAGGATAGCCTCAAATTGTCTCAAACTCCTGTCTGCGCCTCCCAAGTGCTGAGGTTATAGGCATGACCACTCCCCCCCCAGGCAAACTGTATTCAGCTTGGAATTGAGTGTCTCTGGTTTTGTTTCCATTTAATTGGTACTTCCTTCCCCAGGGTTTGTTAAATTTTCTGTCACTTACCTTGGAAACTATCTATGACAAACATCATAATCACGTTAAGCTGTGCACTCACCGTCTTAGGTCCCTGGTTCACTGGCGTTCAGCACACTCACACCGTGCTATTACCAGTGTTTATAAAACTTTGTTTGTTCCAGATGGCCTTTTCCCGTGTCCCTGGTCACCTTTGTTCTGCTCTGACCTGATTTCTCCAGTCCAAGGGACCTCAAATAAGTAGACTCACACGACGCTCATAATTTGAGCTTGACAGACTTCACTGGCCACTGCCTGCATTCGCCCAGACTACGGCATATGTCACTGCTGCGCCCTTTCAAGCACAGGTCCAGCATAACAAGAACATGTGCTCATGTTCACTCGTAGTGGACACTTGGCTTTTCCTACGGTCGGCTGTAGTGCAGGGTGCTGCTGTGGACACTGGTCCCCCAGGAGTGGAAAGTTCTGGCTTATCTTGGACTGCACTTAACTTTCCCTAACTGGTGAAGCTGGCATCTTTTCATGTGCTTTGGAAACATTTGTCTTGGAAGAGAAATTGTTTTCTTTCTTAAAAGGTCCTCTTTGAGGGCTAGGAATATAGCTTAGCTGGCAGAATGCCTGTCTAGCTGCTGAAACCCCGAGTTCAAATCCCAGCACTGGATAGACCAGGCCTGGTGGAATTCAAGTAATCCCAGCACTAGGGGGTGTGGAGGCAGGAGGATCAGAAGTTTGAAGACATACTTGAGTACAAGGCCAACATGAAATACATTAAGACAGCGTCCTTAAAAAAAAACACCGTTCTGATCGCCATGCCTAAACTACACTTCCTGTGCTGTCTTCTGCTTTGCTGAGCTGTGCAAGCTTACCCATCCATTTTCCCTGACTTCTCAGATCGGAACCAACCAGATGGCCGTGTGTGCCAAAGCCCAGAACAAGCCCTTCTATGTGGTTGCAGAAAGTTTCAAGTTTGTACGGCTGTTTCCACTCAACCAGCAAGACGTCCCAGATAAGTTTAAGGTAAGTCTTGTATGTTTGACAGGGGTCTTTGACTCTACCCTGAAACCATAATGGTCCTGAAAGTACCTCCCTTCCGAGTGCTGTTTCCTCCAGTGCTTTTCCAGTGTAGAGATGGTCACTGGACCTGGGCACATTTGTGGGCAAAGTCTCATTTACATAGCACTCTGCTGGCAGAAGCAGCTGGGAGGCTGGTAGCAGGACCCCAGTTTCTTCATCCCATCTCTGCTTTTACAAATCATGTGACCTTGGCCAGGCACTTCCATTGTGGCCTCTTCTTTCCTGTGGGATGGGATGGTATCCTGGATATGCTGTCCCTGCCAGCCTGCTGCACAGCCAGTATCCTGACCCAGAGGTAGTCCTGGCAAGAGTTCATTTATAGCTCAAGCCAGAGCCTCAGCAGCACAGAGTGGATACAAGGCCAATCCAGCTAACCAAGTTCTTCTCTCCTCAGTACAAGGCAGACACTCTGAAGTCTGTGCAGACTGGGCAGGATCTCAAAGAGGAACACCCATGGGTGGACTACACATCCCCATCCCTCATCACGCTGCTCTTTACGGACCTGGGTGTGTTGACACCGTCTGCTGTGAGCGATGAGCTCATCAAGCTGTACCTGTGAGCAAGTCCCTGCTGCCCGCATGCAGGAGGCGTGTGCATGCACGCGGGGGAAACGGCCTCTCCAGCCAGCCAGCCAGCCAGGGGACAGAACTGATCGGACTTTCAGATCTGTATGCTAAGGGCTCCTATCGAAGTCCTGAAGAATCCTTCGACTTTTCCTCTGCCACATCTGAAGCCTGTTCCCAGTTCTAGAACCATCCTTATGGTTTACAGAAACTCACAGTCTCCGAAAGTACAGGTTAGATTACTGGCTGCAAACCTGACAAAGATGGCACACGAGCTGAGATGCCCTTCTCATAGAGCACTCCGACTGACGCCTGAATACAAACCTTATGGTGCCTCACAATACAGCAAACACTGACTGCATCTGGCTTTGGGGCTCTGTCCCCTCAGCAGCATCAGGCAGACAGGAAAATACCAATGCAGGAGCCATTCACGTAGCACTGCTCACAGAGTGTTGTCTATAAAAATGTGAGCTTACTAAAACATATTCAGAACCCAGCTTTTTTAAGTTAAATGTGGGAACAAATCAGGATCTTTTCAAAATAAATTATATGAACAATTTGGATATGGTATTGCCTCACACAAGTTGACACAGACCAGAAACAGTGCAAGCACAATTGGGCAGAACCTGTTACCAGAAAAAGCCTAGCAGCACTTATCAGGATAAGATACTCTTCCGGGTTTCAATAAAACATCAGAGCCTATTCTAAAATGTTCTCACCCCCAATCTTGGTGTCGTGGCACCAACCTGTGGCCCCAGAACATGGGAGGCTAAGGCAGGAGGATCAGTCTGAAATCATCCTAGACTACATAGTTGTCTTAGTTTGGGTTCCATTCCTGTGTAGAGACACCATGACCATGCCAACTCTTATAAAGGCAAACATTTAATTGGGGCTGGCTAACATTTCCAGAGGTTTTTAGTCCATTATCATCATGGTGGGAAGCATGGTAGTGTGCAGGCAGATGTGGGGTTGGAGTTCTACATCTTGATCCAAAAGCAGCCAGTAGGCCTTTTTCTACACAATGGGTGGAACTTGAGTCTAGGAGACCTCAAAGTCTGCCTACACCATGACACACTTCCTACAAGAAAGTGTGCCACTTCCCTGGACCAAGCATAAGCAAACCACTACAGTAGTGTAGCGCCTATTGCAATGAAACGAGAAAAAAAACAAACCCTGCACAAAGTCGCCTCTGCCTCTGGGTGCTCTTGGTAGGGCTGAAAAGGCTATGCAAAATTTGAGATGGGAGGAGGCAGGGGGATATCAAGTGACTGGGAATAAATACTTAGAAAATTTACAAGTATACTACATTATCTGTTTTTTAAAAAGTGAATGGGAATTTTTAAAAATTTATATATTTTGCATATACATATATTTAAACTCTGTAATGAAGTACAAAAACCACCCCAGAAAAAGCACAATTAATCAAAATAAATACTGAGATCTGTTATTTACACTCAAAATAGCTAAACACACTTCTGTGAGATTCTGGTAGGACAGTACTTGTGTGTGCAGTCCTTCGCTTTCTCCTGGTCTGAACAGACAGGGTTCCAGACAGTCTTCCAGCCAGGGTAGGAACGTGGGGCCAGCTGTGAAGTGCCCGTCACCTGAGGCTCTAAGGTCAACTGTCCTCTTCGGAGTCCGAGACACCTAAATCTGTCAGCTGGACTGTCCTTTTGGCACTTGTCAACAGCCCCTTCTCAAATTCTTCTTCTGTGATTTTGCCTTTTTTAAATTTTTTCAAGAGCCTTGTATCATTAAGGAGTTCTTCCATATCCTCATCATCAATATCAGAACCCTGAGTACAGAAGAAGCAATGTATGAGTGTCGGCTTCAGGTCTAGAGAGCCACAGATCCCGTTAGGGCCTACGAGCCCTAGGGTCAGCTAAGGCAGCAGCCCAAACCATGGACCCCAAAATTGAATTGGGGAGGGATGATGGTAAGACAAGGTGTCTACATAGCTCAGGCTGGCCATGAACTGCGGTGCAAGCACCGGCAACCTTGCTGTTCTCATAACACATTAGATGTCTTCCCAGTGCAGTGTCAGAAGGTGGAGTTTAAAGAATAAAAAACACATATTACCTCATCCTTTTTCCTTTTCGCATTCATCTTCTTCTTCCTTTCTTTTTTGGCCTTCTGTTTTGACCAAGCTTTGTTTTTGATGAATTTTCTTCTACCTTCATTTTCTGTCCGCTCTTTTCTTTTTTGTTCCAAAAGTTTCTGCCTCTGTTTTTCTCTAATTTTATCTTTAAATGGAATCGTGTCAGTATCGATGTCCACTGGTACAAAATCAGGAAACTGCTTCCCCCGCAGTTCTGGCATCCTGGGCATCCTCAGCAGGGCAAAGCCTCGAGCAAGCCCAGCGAAGTCAAGATCTAACAGGAAAGAACACAGCACTGGAAGATACCACAATCAGAGGGCGGGGCTGCTTCATGACGTTTCCTAAATAAATGATGTAATAAGCTGGGCAGTGGTGGCGCAAGCCTTTAAGCCCATCGCTCAGGAGGCAGAAACAGGAGGATCTCAGGATTGAGGCCAGCCTGTTCTACAGAGTGAGTTCCAGAACAGACAAAAAGGCTACACAGAGAAACCCTGTCTCCAACCTACCCCTCAACACTCCAAAAAAGTAATAAATTTACTTTAACTAGAATTTTTTAAAAGGTTTACTTGTTTATTTTATACTTGTGAGTACACTCGCTCTCTTCAGACACACCAGAAGAGGGCATTGGATCCCATTACAGATGGTTGTGAGCCACCATGTGCTTGCTGGGAATCATGACCCCTGGAGAGCCGAGCCATGTCTCCAGCCCCTAATTAGAACTTTTTAAACAATTTTACATCTACTCAGAACCTGATTTTCTTTCTTCCTTTAGGATTTCCTTTGAAAGGTTTAGAGAACACTGACCCTGGCATGCCACGTGTCTCAGTAAGACAATGCAACCCTGACACCTAAAGACTCAAAGAGAATGGCTATGCCAAGCACAGTGGCACAGCTCTCATCACCCCCAGCTTTAATACTAAGTAGGCAGAGGTAAAGAGCTCTCTGAGACTGAGCCAGCCTGGTCTATATAGCAGGCTACAGAAAGAGCCTGTCTCAGAGAGGGAGAGAGAGGGAGAGAGAGGGAGAGAGAGGGAGAGAGAGGGAGAGAGAGAGAGAGAGAGAGAGAGAGAGAGAGAGAGAGAGAG